GTATCTTTTGAATATGTAAAATTGTTGTAAGCCGAAGAAAGTTTATAGTATAAATTGGAAAACACATTTAATTTTGTCAAAGTTATAATCAACTGACAGTCTGGTCTGGCAGTTTTTTTACAAACATCATACTGTTGTACTAGCTATATTATTACAGTCAATTGTCTCAGCTGATGGAAAGACAACCCTTCTTTCTTCGACTGCGATTGAGAAGAGAACCAAATTCGCATTGTCAAGGAGGTGCTGTGCCTCGACGTTAACGTATTGGAGAAGCCTTTGTTCGTGACTTCTGGCAAACTTTTCGATGGTCTGGTTAACGATATCTATTTCCATGTCCCTATGGAGGTCACTATTTTTGTAGTAACAATGTTTCTAAGTATTTTGTTTTGGAATGTATGGATGATATCTATGTGGCTTATACTGGCACAACCCCATATCTGGATGCCATACATCCATACTGGCCTGAAGGCCTGTTTATAAAGTAGTATTTTATTGTAGTTTAACAGAATGGAATGTCTTCCCAACACTCAGTACATCTTCTTGTAGGTAATATCTAGCTTTTTCTTTTTTACATGGGGCCTCCAGAGCAGCCTTGCGTCTATGGTAATAGCCAAGTATTTTGCAGTATCTGCATACGGTACTTGGGTATTATTAATGATAATTATTTTTATTTGTAAAGTTGATACGCCATTGTTTAGTTCAATCATTAATTTGGTTAACGGATATTTGTAGATTTTATGCACCTTCTTCATGACCTTCGTCCACAGCTAATATGGCAGTATCATCAGCGAAGGTCGCTATAATGTCATGTACCAAGTTTATATCCCTGTTATATAGTAGATATAGGACCGGGCCAAGAACACTGCCCTGTGGTACTCCCGCCCTAATTCTTTTAACTCGGAATAAGCTTCCTCTTGCTTCACTCTAAAAACTCTTTCTCTAATATTTGACTCCATTTATTATACATATGTCTTGGGCAAAAGTTTACTTAGTTGATACCTAAGTTTCTCATGCCACATTTTATCAAAAGCTTGCGTTACGTCAAGGAAGATGGCAGCATACATTTTTTTTTTCTTCTATGAACTTATTCTATGAATAGTCGAGTGGCTTCCTCTAATTTTTTTTCTTCTATAATGGGTTTCAGCCTTTTTACCAAGAGTTTTTTGAAGAATTTCGAAATAATTGGAAGTAAAGAGATTGAAAGTAGCTTCATTTAATGGTTTGTCAGGTTTGGGAATCATCGTCACTTCAGCAATCTTTCATAACATGAGTACATACTTCAGTCTAAATGAGGCATTGATAATGTAACCACTGCTTTCCTGGAAAGTTGTTTTAAAATTTGCCTGGTAATTAAATCAAACCAAGGAGCTTTATTTGGGTTGATCTTTTTTTTATTTCATTGATAATATCTTTTGGTATCGCAAGTTTTCGTTCGTCTTCTTCTTGGATCATATTTTTCCATTCAAGTGTACTTTAGCCTTCTGCAAATTACTTTTTGCCCAACTCCCATTTGTATTCCATATTACTGGATTTTGCAAGATCGGTCATTTCTGTCTTTTAGTGGTTCTCCAGAGCGAGTAGTCAGTATTGCTATCGTTGGACAACTTACTCAGAGTAACTAATAAACTGCTGGGTAGCGTTGTTCAATCTAGCTTTGTCTGTTGGTGATCTAGATTGATGCCAAATCCTTCTGAGCTTTTACATTTCACATAAGAGTTATCTTATTTCATTGCCTTTAGTTCTAGGAATAAATGTGTTGGTATTATCCCATGCAGCTTTCTAGATATCTCTGACGAATACTTCCGTTTTCTTATCTATATATTCTTTAATTCTTAATGAAATAGGCATATTGTTAGTTTCTTCAGGTTGAAGTTGAAAGCTTTGCCAGTCAGTCATTTTATTGACCAGTAGGGGTTAATTCCTTTTGAATGATATTATCGCTGTAAGGAGGATGAGAGAGTAATCGGAATTCATAATGCTTCCTCGACGTACACATAGTTAACAGAAACATTTCGAGTTATAAAAGAAACAATGTAAATCTGGAATTTTATTTGGATCTGTTGATAATGTTTCACATTTTAGTTGTTTAACTGCTTCTAAGAGTTCTCGTCCCTTAGTTGTAGTTAACCTAGATCCCCAAAAAGTGTGATTGTTATATGGTCTCTTAGAATGGTATTTATAGACAGTATAACTGCCTTTTCGAAGTTTAAGTGTATATTTATCGGGTAGTTGAGCACTCACCTACCGAAGTTTGTAGCATTTCTTTTTTGGCTCTTCTTTTCCAATAAACAAATTTAACTTGTTATTAACTCTGATAGTCTTTTCATAAAAAATCCAAATATCTTTAAAATTGATACCTTTTCCTAGTTATTTTTTTAATTTTTTTAATCGGGGCTCTTTTTCGGGTTTTATTTTTCGGGTGTTTACATATGGCTTCGATCTATACAATGACCGAAAGCAGACTACTTGCTCTCTTTGTTTAATCAGTATACAGCCCTCTTATCCCTTATACAAAAAATCTCATATAATTAAAGCCGTTTTAACTGATTTTCAGACAAAGTTTTCGAGTTTTGGTTTCACAAATGATGCCGTTTTGCTAAAACTACAAAAACCGATAAACGTAAATTTAAATGTCAGCGCTGTTTGTCTACCAAAAGACGAAATCGTGCCCAGACAACTTTGCATAGTAGCCGGATGGGGTATTAACAAACCAGGAGGTAAGATACACATTTTAATTGAATTATCACTTTCATCATCATAACCATTATACCATTAACATTTCATTTCAGTTGGTTTTTCCTATTCGTTAATATTCATGGAAGAACAAGATATGTTGCATGCTCGGTCATTTTTTATAATGTAAGCATCGCGTGAAAAACTTGGGCAAGTTTCAGCAGAGTTATTTTTTTTATTTCAGAACCGTCGATGCAGCAATACCTTCACTACTTACCAGTACCTTTAATAGATACGCAAGAATGTAATTCTACCAAACATTATAATGGAAAAATTAGTTCTGATAAAATATGTGCTGGGTATACTGACGCCGAAAAATCACCATGTTTCGTAAGTAGTTATTAATAAAATTCGAAATTATGTCTATTTAAATTAAATTTATTTTAAAGGATTTTAAAAACTTCGGTAACATATTATGGGGTCTATTCTGTAAAAATTCCTTTATATTTAACGGCCTTTAAAAATATTGTCGGCCTTTAAACATATGTTCGTATTCGTTAATTTACTTCTGTCATTATTTAAACAGATTTCTTTAAGATAGTCCTCTAATGTATTTTAAAGATCCGTTTAAATAATGACAGAAGTAAAGAATAAAATATTTTTAAAGACCGTTAAATATAAAGGAATTGTTACAGAATAGACCCCATTGATAGGTAATGTTACAATTATTTAAAACATACAGGATGGACCAATCTTGTGGAAAAGTTCGATATCTTCCTTGTTGAAAGAGATATTAAAAAAGTGTATTAAGAAAATTATGGACATATTTGAGGTTAACATTTTAAAATTATTGGGAGGTATACAGGGTGTTGCATAGCTCGTGTACGAACCAAACATATGTTATTTTTAATGATAACCCCAGTATATTATTTTAGATTCTATTTACTCATTTTTTTTCCATTCTTCTAATATATGGTTTGTCTATGTTATATACTGTACTTTTCAAGGAATTGACATTTTTGTGAGAGAATCGTACATAATTCAACGTCCAGTAGCCAATTACACACTGTAAAAAAACATTTTTTTTTTACCCGCACGAATTTTATAATATGATGTATTATACTTTTTTTAGATATATTTTTATTATCTGTTTATTTGTATACAGGGAGACTCAATACTCAGATCCTTGATTTTCTTGTTTTATTTAAATGGGACACCCTATATTTTATATCACCAGTAAATTCATCTGTTCCAAGTCTTCCATTTTTATAAAGCATTCCCTATACCTAAAGTTAATATTTATCGATATTTTTTAACAATAAATGAAAATTATGGTTATTTCGATAAATTAAACTAGTTTTTCATAAAATACTCTTTATAAACAATAATAAATAATAAAAAAAAGTATAATACATCATATTATAAAATTCGTGTGGGTAAAAAAATTTTTTTTGTGTAATTGGCTGCTGGACGTTGAATTATGTACGATTCTCTCACAAAAATGTCAATTCCTTAAAAAGTACCCTATACAACATAGACAAACCATGTATTAGAAGAATGGAAAAAAGATGAGTAAACAGAATCTAAGCTATGCAACACCCTGTATACCTCCCAATAATTTTAAAATGTTAACCTCAAACCTGTCCATAATTTTCTTAATACACTTTTTTAATATCTCTTTCAACAAGAAAGATATCGAACGTTTCCACAAGATTGGTCCACCCTGTATATTCAGGAAAAAACTAAATATATTTGTAAGAAATCAATTTTGATGTACCAACGTGTGGTTAAAACTGGTGGTAGTAATAAAACACTGAGTGTAATAGTAAAGATTATGATATAATGATTAACTGACGATATATAGGTTTGTTCGGGTTTCTTTAAAATTTGATGCAGACCGTCCGAGATCCAGTTGAACAGCTGAATAGCAAATTATACGTCGCGTACAACTTTTAAATTGTTCACTGGTCCACTAGTCCTCTGATAGTTCTCAACTTATTTTTGAAAAACCCAAACAAGCCTTATTACAGCAATCTTGTAACTATTAAGTCTTCATACTTGTAACGATCAATACTAACGACAAACAGTGTTGTTCCTAGTGATTTTTGAATTGTACAACTTTCAGTGTCAAAATTGTACACTTTTACTTTCGATTGTACAACCACTAATTAATCTTCTTCTTTTTTATTGACAGACAATGGCATACTACTTTCCCATGCTTAAAATTCTTCTTTTTTTTAGTTTAAAATATATTTTTGATGTGAAACGGTGTACTGATTGGTCGCGGATGGCGCCAAATTTAAACTTTTATTTTTGTATTAATTTTAATGCATGCTATTTAACAAATCGTAGACTTTTTGAGCGAAGAAAATCTTTTATATACCCGATTTTACATAAATATTTAGGAATTTCAAATTGTACAACATTTCTGTCTTTTTTCAAAAGTGCGTACAACAGTACAACCGCATAACTGATTGTACAACTTCTTGTACAATTAGGCATTCCAAACTAAATGCCTACCAGTGGGCTTTGACGGGTTATGATATTGCAAAATTATGGCAACCCTGTACACCTGGTGATTTGACAAGGTCAATGAAATAGATAGTTACTTATGCTGCGTTTGAGAATCCACATCGGATGCATTTTTTACATCTCGAGCGTTTTTTTATCCACATCGGACACATCTGTCCCATTACATTTACGTATACTGCATCACGTGATCAAAGATTTTTTACATCTCAGATGCATCCGATGTGGATTCTCAAACGCAGCAATAGATTGATTATCCATATTTTTCAAAATAAACATATGCCTTGAAGTAAAAATGTAAGCAATTATTTTTTTTAAATATCTAAAGGCTAAAAATTGGTTTTAAAACACATTTTTGCTAAACCGATTCAAATTAATAAATATTTGCCAGGCAATATGGCCGCTCGTAAACAACCAGCTTTGAGCAATCTATATAACTATATATGTATCATTGACCCTGTTAATGACAACATGACAACAGGGTTGCCATATCTAAACTGTCATTACCCACTGGTAGCCATTTGGACAGGTCGTTGGAATGCCTAATTGTACAACCAGGAACAACACTGACGACAAACGACTAACTGTCAGACTTACAGTGTTATACCAACTGTTAGAACTAAAAAGGATCTAAAAGCGTTGTAGTACCAACATAAATATATAATTTTGATTGTTACAAGAACACAAAAAATGTTTACAAGATACCTTTTACTCTAGGACAATCATGATTTATTAATAATGTTACGATATTTTTTAAATTTTTATTTGGAAAACAGAAGCAGAGTTGAGTGATACGTGTGTTACCAGCGTATGTATATCCAATAATGAGTTGAATCAAGCATGTAAACTGGGGCTTAAGATATTTCAATAAAAGGCTAATTTAGGATTTAACTTTACTTAATTTGATTCAGTTGATTTATTCGGTGATTATTGTTAGCCCACTGATAACGAAATGATTAAATATGCTTCAAAGGGATGTAAAAGTATTAAACTTTATCAAACGGCAACTGTACCAATCACTATCCTGAGCAAAGTGGTTTTAAAACAATGGCACTTCCGGTACATTTTTTGAATTCAAGTTCTTTTTGCTTTTTGTATGTGCTCTTTCCATTTAAGTCGTACATCTAGGTTCATTCCTAGGTATTTGGCCGAATTGTTATGCGGAATACCATCATTGTTTATTCTTATTTGTTTTTGTTCATTTGGTCGAAGAGTAAAATCAACATGCACTGATTTTGTTTGATTCATTTCTATTTTCCACTTTTTTGTCCATCGATTGATTCTGCTGCAGGTTTACTGGAATTTTTCTGAGGTCTCTGTATTAGTTTCGCCAACTGCTATTATTGCAGTATCATCCGCAAATGTTGCTATTTTAACACATTGTTGTTGAGAGACATCGTTGGTGTATAATAATTAAAAACCGGCCCTAACACACTGTGGGGTCTATTCTGTAACAATTCCTTTATATTTAACGGCCTTTAAACATATTTTCTTCTTTACTTCTGTCATTATTAAAACGGATCTTTGAAATACATTAGAGGACTATCTTAAAGAAATCTGTTTAAATAATGACAGAAGTAATTTAACGAATACAAATATACTTTTAAAGGCCGCCAATATTTTTAAAGGCCGTTAAATTTAAAGGAATTGTTACAGAATAGACCCCTATTACGTTTTAATATTCTAATTACAAGGATTCTTTTAGAGCAAAAGCTCCTGCTAATAACAAACTGTTGCGAAATATTGCGAATAACCGGAGAATGACGGATGGGCCGATTTTCTGGGACATAGAGCGACGTTGCAAGATCCGTCCAGATTCTTAATATCTAAGGAAAAAACTTAAAAATGACATTTGTCTCTAACACATTTCGTTCGGAGGTTTTCCTGGCTTAGGAATTAGGATAACTTTAGCCGTTTTCCACGCATCTGGAATATATTTAAGGCGAAAGGCTGCATATATTTCTGCAGTAATAAGGTCATATCCTGGGGCTTTCTGTGGATTAATGTTTGTCTCAATTTCTTTCGCAACTTCATTGGGAATAACTAGCCTAATTTCAAGTTGTTCCATATTATGGATCCATATCAAAGTTTTCTTCTACTTGTATATAATTTGGAGAAATTTTTTTCAGGGTAAATAAATCCAGAAGGTCTGGAATCTTATTTGGGTCGGTGGGCCAATAGGTGGGCTTTTTAGAAAATTGGTATGTACAACCAAGTTCTGATGCAGCTCGGTGCAATTCTTTTCTTTGACTGTGGTTAATCTTGAACCCTAGAGTACTGTAATCTCTACCGATTTTAAATTTGTTACCTAATTCTTTAAGTAAATTGAGATAATTTTCTTTTTTCTGGTTGGCCTTGGAGGGAAATAGATTGTAACTATTGTAATTTTGTCCCTCTTAGTATTAATGATGATAATGGTTACCTGATTTTCTGGTTCTTGGATAGCTGGTTCCTCATGGAGAGAAATGTTATTTTTAATAAGTAACGTACTTCCTCCTCTTGTTTCATTTGATGGATGGATACTGTGACAGAAGTTGTATCCTCTAAATTTAATGTACGTCCAAGAAAACTTTGATATCAGTTTGTTTTTGAAGAATACCATTGGCACTCCAAGTGGCTATTCTAATATATCTTTTGTCCATTGGTAGTTTTCTTAAATATTTGAGGTTAATTCAATTCTTCTAGCTTCTGTAGCCTGTCAGAGAGTGAATCTATTCTGGATATTAAGGATAATAATAATTTATAAGTGGTATACTTTCTACTAGGCTGACTGAATGTGCAGTATGCTGCGAAATTTGTTGTGTGGGATTCATAGCTGGTTATGACCTTTGAATTGGTTGCTCTTGTAAGTTTGTTACCTGAAAATATGTTATTTCATTTCTGACAATAGGAAAAGCGTTATGAGTCTCCTCTGCCTCGTCATTATTTTAGTGATCTGAAAGGTTTTAGCTACCTTGTGATAACGATTTAACTTGAGCTAAGTTGCTGGCACAGCGCAATTTCGAAGTCATGCCGGGTACCATACTATTTGTTTTATATACAAAAAAAATACATAAGACATGACAGCTCTATAAATTACAACCATAATTATTATATTTTAAACTATAATCATTGCCTTTAAATTATAGCAATTTGTAAAAACAACGAATAACATTGCAAAATTGGCGCACAACGTGGGGCATCATTACAAAATTGGTATTTCCAAGTGGATGATTAGGATAAATAACTCAGTAAAGCCTTGGTTTCTTTGAACACTCCGTCGCGATGAGCAGATACTCCGTCGACCCCTGAGGACAGCGATTTTCGCCCAAGGTGGTTTGTTTAAATATAGAAAATGAGACTTTCTTTATGTATGTATGTATGTGCTGTTTATGTATTATGAGTAGAAACGAAAGGTACTAAAATAAATTGGTTCGTTGTTATTTTTGTTGGAAGAGGAGGAAGAAGAAGAGGAACTGGCAATTGCAACAGTTAAAGTTTCAATTAAGCCAGTGTCGCGATACAGAAGGTGCCTTTAATATCACTGTACTGTTGAGTTTTGTAAAGGACGACATTTCCTGTCACACTGTATAAAGGAGGATGTTGTCGAACCAAATCTATTAAGATTTCATGATCTGTATGTGTGAATTTGTCACTAATTGTTTTAAAAATAATAACAATATAATTATTTGTATTCACACACTGTCTCCGCACACTCCGACGATTCCGCCGATATCAAACTCAACAGATATGAAGCGACTAGTCGCGACAAATCAGCGGCATGACGCCGTCCTGCTCAGCTAAGCGGATTCGAGAAAACCGTTCCCATTTAAATACTCTGGTTAGATAAAATCGTCAAAACGCGACGGTCGACGGACTTTCCGCTCACCGCGTCGGAGTGTTCAAAGAAACCAAGTCTTAATTTTGACATTATCTGTCGTTCTAATTCAGATGAGTATTTTACATAAATTAACTGCATATATTTTTTAAAATCAGGTGTCTTAGTGATACGAATGACTTATACCTTTAGTAATATCCCGTGTTTACTGTGTTAAAAAAACAATACTACTCATAATAATAATAATAATGTGATTTAATTTTCTAGGATGATGAAGGAGCGCCATTGATGTGTTTTTCCGATAAAACGGCCACGTGGGAATTACACGGCCTGCTCAGTCATCACGGAGATTGCGGTTCAAACAAACATCCAGCCGTTTACACGGTGATTAGTACGAAATTAAAATCTTGGATGACCAGTACGATAGGAAAACAAGCCCTGTCATCCTTATAGACTTTCAATTATTTTAGAACACGTAGTGTCGATGACTAAAAATCATTTTTAAAGTGTTTTTTCTACAAATACTATTAAAAGTAGGCGTGTTAATGTTTGCTGACAGAGTCAAAAGTGCTAGCAAGGTCGAAGAAGGTGGAGTACCACAGGGAAGATTTGTAGGGCATCTTCTTTTATTGTATACCTTAATGGTGTTGAATTATTTCTTCTCTCATTCAATTAAAGTTTAGATCATAGATCACAAATAATTTACGCCTGATATAGGTAGTATAATTTCTTTCGTTCCTTAATAGCATTTGTAGAAAAATAGGACATATGTGTAAAACTATATAAATTTTATTTTGTTAGGTACAAAATAAAATTGATATTTTTAACAATAATATCATAAATAATTGTTGCCAGTTTCCAAATGATTTTAAAAAACTATTATCAGAATAATTTTGAGACAAACTGAATATATATTTTTTTTAAATGGCTCGTGTTGATATATTTGTAGATAAAGAAAGCAATATTTTTTCCTTTCACTAGTATTTACTATTTATTTTTATTGTTTTTTAAATTGATCAGTCATATAGTTTTGTATATTATTTTTACTACATTAGAATACGTTTTTTTTGTAAGAAATAGTTTTAATATTACTATGAAGGTACTATAAAATAACATATTATTGACTTATTTGTTTATTATATTGACTGTAAGTATACGACTATTGTAAAAAGTGGAAAATATTTTTTTTTACTTTTTTACATTGTGTATTATATTTTATTTAAAAATTGCCTTATGTTATGTATTTGTTGTTATATGTTTTCAAGAAAAAAATAAACAAAAAATCATTTATACTATAATATAATTAATAACAGTGCAATATACGAGTGTATCCCACTGACTATGATTTCTATTAACGTTATATTATCTATTTTTTCTGGTACACAGTGTTGCCAATCTAGTACAATTGTACTAGATCTAATACATTCTCTAAGAATCTGGTACTCTAGTACCCTCGAAGCAAAATCTAGCACTTTTTCGTTTTCAGTGTTACCATTTGGTACATTTTTATGCAATCTGGTTCTGGTTCATTTTTTAGTCATATCTGCTACAAAACAAAAATATATTATGGCAACATTGCTCTTACATCATCACAATTTTTTTATGCAATAGTAACTATTATACAGTGTGTTCCAGACTTAGCACTTCACTTGCCATCTATAGTCAAGACCATCAAATAGAAATTAAACCTATTAAGAGAGTCAAATATAATAAAATAAATAGCTGAGATGCGAGAGGCTCATATATTTATTGATTTCTAGAAGGCATCAGACTTAATAAATGGAGCGGTAATGTGTAAGATACTAAGATAGTTTGGGATATCGAAAAAATATTTAGTAGTGATATATTTATTTTAAAAACAATTCTAAAAATTAGACAGATAATATTAATAATAAAAATAATAAATATTTATTTTCCAAAGTTTCCATTAATATATTTTACATCTTCAGTATGATCCAGTCGCCCAAAAGAGAATCTGACGCCCCGCATATCATCTCGGTTTACTTGTGAACTGTTCTTAGTCGTTGTTTTACTATCTAAGACACCGTAGGAGATCGACCTTCACCCATCTAATAACCAGATGAGGCATATTTTTTATAAAGTTTTATTGAATTATTAAGACACCTATGGGAACTTGCTATTCGAAAAGTGTTCAAAACTATTTTTAATTAAATAAATTTAAATATTTTTTATATAACCTTCACTTTCCTGATAACCGAACAAATTTAATTTTAAAACATGGAGAATATGCCTCGGTAGGCTTGTTTACTTATTTCTATTCATGGCTACCTGGCAAGCAGGTATGAACAGGTAAGTTTATATATACACCGATATGTCAACCAATAAAAATTGATATAGAAAATAATCGTATATGCTTGCCTGCAAAATCTGTTCATGGAATAATAATGCCATGCTTTAAAGTTTTAAACTCGAAGCAATTAAATATGTGCAAGAGAGTAAGTAAAACGTGTGAAATCCGTGTGATAAAACAGGACACAACATAGCAGCAGCTGTCCATAGAATGTAACCCAATGCGCATGCTCTTTTATATGCGATTGACAGAGACAGTGCTAATTTGTTGTAGCCAGGTAGTCATGAAAAGAAATGAGTAAACAAGTATACCAAGGCATATTCTCCATGTAAAAAACTATCTGTTAAAATTAAATTTGTTCAGAAAAGTGAAAGTTATAAAAAAAAATTATTAAAATTTATTTAATTAGAAATAGCCATGAACACTTTTCGAATGGAAAGTTCCTACAGGCGTGTTAATGTATCAATAAAATTTCGTAAAAATTATGACTCATCTGGTTATCAGATGAGTGAAGGTCGATCTCCCACGGTCTCCTCTACTAACAGAAACCTGTTCATTCTTCTCACTCGTTTTTTTTATTATTAGCGTCTCTACTGTGTCAGTTTCTAAAATTATAGTTGTTTTGTTCGTCGTTGAAGTTTTAACATGTTTCAATAAATATGTCTTTGTTAGTACGACATTTTTATGTTCTGTATTTAAGTCCCTTACAGCTCTTGCAAGTTTGGCCAGGTCATCATTTTATTGAGTTCATCCAATTCGTGATTTAGAGCGTGAAAATCGTCCGTGGTCCTTTGGTTTTCTGCCTGTCTATTGATTTTGTTTTGAGCTTCTACTCTGTTCTGATGGATTTGGTTAGGTATTATTTGTAACAGAGTTTTCAACAATACCTGCATCCCACATGATTTTGTTAAACAAGAAATTTAATGCAATTGGTCGTTCCTAATGACTTTTATGACAACTTAAGTATCATTTCTGTCAAATAAATAGTAGCATTGTTTTAGGGTTACTACTGAAGTTATTAATGCTACTTTTAGTTAACTGATGACATTTAGTCATGTGTGATACGAGTATTGTTCAAAACTCTTTATTATCACCGACTATTTATTCCTAATAGTAGTTGACTAAATAATGAAAATAACTACCCTAAATAAAACTGTTTTTCAAAAAAGGAGGAGGTTCTCAATTCGTCAGTATATTTTTTTTATGTATGTTCAGCGATAATTCTTTAACACGGTGTCCGATTACAATTGTTCTTGTTTTGTTAGAAAGAGGGTACTTCAGGGTCCAAATAAACACAGTTTATCAGCACCGTAACTGTACCGAAGGAGGCCTGCAGGATGCCGAACTCGGCCCGATATACGGGTGAGGCTTCGGCATATAGGTAGGGCATGTCCGCCCAGCCGAATGTCGGCAGCCCACTAAATTGGAGGCGCGTTTATATATCTATATATAATTCGGCCACAATGAAGTGGAGAGGGGTAGAATGATAACTGTCAATGACGCAGACGGTATCTTATCCTTCTACCCTCTCTTCTTCTTTGTTCGGCCCGTAAGGATACCTCCCATGCCTGGCTTGCCAAATATTAACCGCGTTCGGCCCGTAAGAATGCTTCCCATGTCTGGAACGCCAAATGGTACGATCCTCCCGGATCGGAAGAAAAGCCGACAACGGCAATCCGAGTACTCGGCTTCCCGTACAGGCCGAGCAAATGCCGACTATTTGTGGTTTACTGGGGTGGTCCCATATAAATTTGATCAAAATTTAAAGATTGGGTCCACGAGAAAATCCTAAAACTCTTAATTTTTATGTATATTTAGCGATAATTCTTTACCACCTTATCCAATTTCTATAATTATTTTTTTGTTAGTAAGGGGGTACCTCAGGGGTGGTCCCATATAAATTTGGTTAAGATGTGGTGATGGTATCTGCACGATTTTAAAGTCGTTTTTTTAAATTACTTTTAATACTTGTAACAAATTAAAGCGGTGTGTTTAGTCTGGAACATTCAGTATATTAGTGTGTTGACTATAATAATTTATGATGTCCTCTATATTGAGTATTTTTCATTATTTATGCCTATCTAGGTCCAAATTGGTAGTAATTTAAAAACAATTTCTATTATACCTATTTGTTTGCGACTGTTTTGGATCTATAGATAACATATTGTGAAAAATAAAAAAATAAAAATGAATACCACGCGACTTTGAATAATTTGAATAACATTAATTTGCTTATCCTTTATACATTCCTTTTCTGTTGTAGCATTGTACTGTATATATAATTTTTTTAGATGGTGCGCGATATTGCTAAAATTAAAAATGTTTAACTAGTTTTTAAGTGCCATAAAATAAAATTCAACACCGCGTATTTTATTTTGCAATGTTTCAACGAAAATATACGCGGCTGGTTCCATTCCAAATGGTCCAATTTTTATAAATGGATAATACATTTTTTTAAAACTTTTATTGAAAATTGAATATTTTAGATAGATTATTGTTTTAATATTTATCCCTAACATTGATATACAGGGTATTCCGTAATAATGTTTCAATATGTTAACAGGGTGTTCTATTAACTATTTGAAAGGAGTGGTTCTTATATTTTGCAATTTAGGTCCTTTTTGACAAAATATTTAAGTCTCAAAACGCCAAAAAAAAATCTTGAAGATTGTTATTTTGGTATATACACGTTATCCTTTAATCGAACCCTATTTTGCGATGGTCTTCCTTCTTACAATTCGTGTTTTTAAACGATAGAAATTAGCAACCTCTATTTTCGTTTCTTTCAGAACTTTTTTAAAAATTATTAACAAAAAAACGTAAGTGTAATTTAGAAACTTTTTTCGCTCATTTATTTTTTTCGTATATTCAACAGTTTTGACGTTTTAGTAAAAGAGGACCCAAATTGCTAAATTTAATAAGAACCCCCCTCTTAAATGTTTGGTAGAACACCATGATAAAATATTTGATCATCATTACGGAAGACCCTATATATGATATTGATGTTTTGAACTATTGTAAATACTGAATTTTTTGCCGTGCATATTATTGGAAATTAATTTTCTAATGTACATATTTTAGCAGTAGCTCATGTTCTATATTCTCGCATTTTTATTGGTAATTAAAAAAAAATTGATTCAGAATGTTTAATCGAATTTTTTTTTTATCTAAAAAGGTATAAATTGATTTGATTAAAATATTTTGCCATAATATCCTGTTTGCCAAAGGATAGTAGTATTATATAATTGTATATTAAAAATTTCCAAGTACTATATTGCTTACCATGTACACATAAATGATTTATTTACCCCAAAACTTATTATTCCAGAATTGTAAAAATAAAAATAAACCGTCCAACATTGTTATTTTTTTTAATTTATAATAACCTTTTTCAAGCATTTTTAAAAAATAAAAAATAATTTGCATTTTTTGTGAATAGTTCCATAGTACATCAAAATTATTTTTTATGGATAATGCTTGAATTATCAGTTTTAAAGACATTGAAATTTTCTTTTAATTGTTTAATTGTTTGCACATTCGATCGGATCCGGGTATAAAGTTCCGATTTAAAGGTACTCGAGATTCATTAAGAAATCAAACTCAGTTCAGTTGATTTCGGGCTCCAGCCGTATTATTCTTCAAATCTAGTATAATTCAAATTCAGTACCTTTCCTAAACTCACGCAGTTCATATTCTACCTTTATTCGACGCTCTTCAGCCCGACGACCTACCTCCCGAACGTTCTCACGTCTCGATGCTCGACGTCCCGATGTCATCTCCTTTATCCGACGCCCTCCATCTGACTCCCTACGTCCTCTACCTTTCTAAGTTTGGCGTTCTGCGTCACGACGTTCTCTCTCCGTCACGCCGCTCTAAATTCCGACGCCTACGTCTCAACGTCCCTGCTAAATATCCCAACACAAGATAACGCTTCCGTACCGAATACAATATAAAATGTCTAAAATAGAAACAGACGATAATATAAAAAATCGGGCTTTTAATAAATAGCAACAAGACCGGGGGTGGGTGGTGGGACCCGCTGTGTAGGTCATTTTTGAAGATAAAAGAATTCGATAAAAAATCGACAGAATTTTCTAATTTATAAAAAACAGCATGTAAAAAGAAGGTAGGAAACAGTATTTTTGAATTTCAAACTGCTCTTTATTTGTATCGAACTCTTTAATCTTCAAATGACCTACGCAGCAAGTTTCTCTTGTTTTCTGTTTTTCGCAAATTTTGACGGATCAACGAGCTAATTAATCTTCAGACTCAGCGAATTGAAATACATAAAAATCATACTTGACCCGGATCCACAAAAATTTTTTCATCGCTGTAATTGCAGTTTTTCTCAATTTTTTGCCTTTTTTTTGGGTATTTGCATTTTACTCAAATCTGGAGGGTGGCCGAGCCAAAGGAACCTCAAATTCGGATACAGCGAGTTAAAAAACATGCCCGTAGGTGGTTCCGACGAATGCACAAACAACTTTTTTGTTTGTGTGCCGGTGTTATGAGATGAGTAATGTGACTAAAATAAATAAAATTAAAAAAAACCTAAAAAATAACATAAAATAGTATCACAGAAACATCAGCACTGATAAGAGTTCGTGAGCTGAGAAAACAATCGGTGTTGCCAGACTAGTTCAGGTGTACTTGCATCTGCTAATACTTGTTGCCAAGTCAAGTGAAATTTTTGTGAAGTAATTATTTTTAGTCTATTTTATTTCAAAAATTGGTAAAAGTCATAAATGCGGTCAATTTTAGTTTTAGATGCTCGTATGGTTACCAATAAGGTTGTTCCTAAATCTTGAATATCGTCTATTGAAATATTAGTTAATTCCTCTCGACGACATGCTCCACAAATACCAAAAATTAGTGCAACCTACAATAAATAATCATATTAACATAATAGTCTAAAATAAAAAAAAAAAACAATTAACTTACTTTTATCATAAGATATAAATTATCTGGAGCATCTACTAAAAATAATTCTATTTCTTCCCTGGTTAGAATTTTTGATTTTTTTGGTTTATAACCGTCTGATTTCCGTTTTAAGAATGTTATCAATCTTGAATATCTAGCGATGTTTATATTATTGTGCAAATTTACAGTTGCTTTTAACATCGAATAATATGACCATAGAGACGACGGCTTACGGCATTTGGACTTTTCCAGAAAAAATGCAAGAAATACATTTTCTGTATAGTTACCGTCTATAACATTCTTCAATTTGCACCAGCTAACAAATTCATCGTAGACCTTATCGTATATTCTCTTAGATTTGGCGGGTAGTAAACTTAATTTTGCATCTTCTGCTGCTTTAAAAATTTCCGGTGGTATTCCGGAAACTATTTCGTCGTCACTACTGTCCATTACATAAACAAAATATATAAAACTTCTTCTAAAATTCCACACCTGTAATTTTGAACCAATCAAAATACGTGTTTTTGACAGATCACCATGGCAACGGAGGTATTTTAGTGGAAATTTTTTTCTCGTGGGGTACCCAACAGCGAATTATACTGGAAATTTTTTGACGTTTACAATAACAGACCATTTTTGACAGACTGGTTTTTATTTGTTCACATAATAGGTTTAGTTTTGATACATTTTAGTTACAATGCTAAGGTGTTTTCTATATTCTTCGGCCACTTCTTTTCTTCTTAATGGCGAAAATGCAGGACTTTGGATGCTTTGAATTATGTGTCTATGTCTAATAAAATATATATAATATTTAGACACTAATTTATTCACCTTTTTCCCATTCAGCACTTTGAATTTTGCGTAGTTTAGGTGCAAATATTCGTGGACAATTCGGAACAAATTTTCGTTTTTCAAGTTGGAGCCGCAATCCTCTATTAATCCGAATAAGTAAGTCATGGTGCAATGATTGATCATTACATCAGACAATTTCACGCATATTTTGCATAGCGTATGATTTTCAAATCGATTCATTTTTAAACAAATAGGTAATTTTGTTGGTTTTACTTGCTGTGCAATATTCTTTATCGCAACAAAACGCGAGTTATTTAATGTTTTGAACTGTCAAAATACAATGACCACAGCCTCCTACGATTGATGCTTGCTGACGCTGGTTATGAATTTCATACCATTTTAAAGCGCTCATAACGCATATTAATAAAAACGCAGAAAAACAATTTTCTACCACTTGTAGTTATTCAAAACTTACGTAAAATTAAAGAATATACTATTTTCTATTTTCAAATGGTATTCCCATGCAACTAAAATGAGTAGAAATAAGCAATTTGAAGGCCTAAATAATTGCAGCGAAACATTTTTTTACGTCGGGCCGCTTGACAACTTCAAAACTGAAATTATATTCGAGGTTAGGGTCTCACTTAGTTACCATGACAACTCAACAATCAAGGCGACAACACCTTTTATGTTTCACTGGTGACTTGGAGAAAATAATTTGCATTGTTGAGAAACGAAAAATAAATTTTAAAAATATTTAATTTTCAACCATAATTTCAGGAAATTTTTTGACCTCTAGTGGTATTACTAGTGAAAATATACTAAGAAACTTGCAATACGTGAAGTCGACTGTAAATAAAAATGGCGTCTACCTATTCTTGTCCTATTGACTTGGTTGCTATGGTAACGCGTATAGGTATATAGATTATTGTTATTTTATCATCTTATTAGTTTCAATATAAGACTTATTTTTATTTAACTATACAAATGATTTGGTAGATTGTTATATAGGGTGAGTTATAATAATATCGAGGTATAAAATTTATCCAACTTGAAACATTTATAATAACCTACTCACAAAAGGTGAAAAATGGAAAATAAAACATATTTATTAATAAACTATCATTAATACGGTCGTGCATAAAATTTTGTATATTTATTAATAAATGACTATTAAAACGGTCGTGCATAAAATATTGTATGTATTTCGGGCGTAAACAGCGTTTATGGACCTTACGTGTTAATAGCCCTCGCCTAGCGGCTCGGGCTCTTACTTACACGTTGCGGTCCTTAAACGCCTGTTTTACGCCCTTGATGCATAAATAATTATTACTTTCGATATTAATTTAGATTATTGTATTATCATACTTTTTCTGTAAAATTTCCTTGAATTAGAAGTTCTGTTATATAATATACACAGCACATAAAAATAAAAAACAGGAACTGTATCGTAATTGAAACGTCACATTTGGTTCATTAATATAATTTTATTTTATGGGCTTTATAATAACATCTACAAGTAAAAAGGATTTTCTGAATATAACAGGAATGTCACATCGTTTAGATAATAGTTTACGCACGAGTTATTTTTTCCTATATGCAGGACGACACATTTTTCCGTGTTTAAAGGAAGCAGCCAGGTATCACACCAATTTGAAATATTTTCTAGGTCTTTTTGTAGCTGGGTAGAATCTGTCACAGGATTAGAGTAGTAGAGTAGCTTAGTGTCATCAGTGTAACACATAGTAGCGCTATAATATCACTGAAACGTCTACATTGTTTCATCACGTTCCTACGCTAGGCTTAGACGGTTGAGTATCCATCCCATAGATGAAATCAAGAGAATAAACAAAAGTTACAATATAACAATGTGCTGTTGAGGTTTCATTAATTAAAGGTTCATGAAAATATTTACGGAACGACAACTGCTCAATAATTGTCAAATTTCAAAAGAGAAGATGTTTGTTTCTGCATTTCTATTTAAAATAATTTTACGTTTTATAGGTGTTTTTAAGAATAATATAGTAGTAGCACTATTTTTTATTTCCGACTCATCGATAGATGTGCAAGAATTAGTCTGCAGAAAGCTCAGAGTTGCTATGGATACCAAAATGTATTTCTATCATTCAACATGAAAACAAAATATTACTGTTTTTGTTTAACAACGCTTTCAGTAAACAATTGCCAGACTTCAAACCACTTTAACAGCTGGAAATATTGAGTGACTTGGATATATTGCAACTAATTAATCTCGGAGCTTTTAATTAATTCGCGCTCGTTATTATTTTATATTTGGTTTATTATTGGTGATTCAATGGACTAATATTAAAGAGTTGTTTGATTTTAATTGATCAGCCGATTTGGCATTTAGGGCTGCGCTGGCCTGATGTATTGAATTAAATATGTTAGATATATTTCCAACAGACTGTGCCATCGAACTGATGCAAGGTGATAGATGGTAATTGAACTTCGCCGTCATTTAGTTCGACCTCTCATATAGAATTTTCTTCTATGTTTAATTACTTTTGTTTTAGCAATCGTTTTATATCCTTCCTCGTAGTTTCAAATAATTTTTGGTTTTTCTACCAATTTTTTATCGGAGCAAACTTGATATACGCATACGGAATTATTTAGAAAGTGACAGAAATAATATTTAAGGAGTTGAGGAAAAAGCGAAACATTTCTATTAAAAAAAAACTTCTTACGTAAAAATAAATCAAATACATCAATCTTTTATTAGTTTATTGTACAAATTAAAAAAAAATTATATAAATATCTTACAATAATTAAACAAAAATCAAAGCATAAACAGTTTAAAATAATCAATCTTCATCATCCTCATCATTTCCTTGCTGATTTTTCTTCAAACTACCGAACACTTCCGACGGCACGTTCTGCTTTTCGACCTGTATATCATCCTCTTCCTCCTCGTCATCTTCATCATCGCTGCCAATATCAATTTCATCAGGATTAACGACTCTATCCTTATTAGCCCCCTGGGTTTCCCCTCTGACGAACATAATATTCCCGGGTTTGGTCGAGCTCTGCGGAATCCCCGCCATTTCTGCAGCTTTAGCCTCCAACAATCGCATACCGTCTTTGACCCCGGGCGCTAAATCGGCAATGGTGCCGCTCATGCTGCCCGCGGAGCTCAACATTTGTGCCGACATCATGTTCACCTAAAAAAAAAATCAATCCATATAATATAAAAACAAAGTTTTCAATAGTCGATTTAGTTTTCCCGGATAAATTATCTAAAGAAAGATCGGTGGACAATTCTGAGATCTCTTTTCGATTTTATTGAGGAATCGATTACGTTTAAAGATAAGTGGAAAATCCTGAGATCTCCATTCGATTTTATTGAATCGATTTGTTGTTTCAAGTTATGGATTTTTTTGATAGACTTTTTTTAGCTGATTTTTATGAACCAATTTTTCCAGGGGCGGATTAATCTAAAGATCCTGCGATTTCGATTCGATTTTATCGAAAATCGATCTATTGTTTCACAATTTTGATTTTTTGAATCGACTTTTTTTAGTTGATATTTATGAATCGATTTTTTTAAGGAGAGATTAATCTAAAAATCGGTGAAAAGTCCTGAGATTTCGATACAACTTTATCGAGAATCGATTGTTTGTTTTACGATTTTGAATTTTTAAATCAACTTTTTTTAGTTGATATTTAAGAATCGATTTTTGAGGAAGAGATTGATCTAAAAATCGGTGAAAAGTCCTGAGATTTCGATTCAACTTTATCGAGAATCGATTGTTTGTTTTACGATTTTGAATTTTTAAATCGATTTTTATGAATCGATTTTTTTAAATCAATTTTTCTAAGAAGACTGATCTAAAAATCGGTGAAAAGTTCTTAGATCTCGATTCAATATTATCGATAATTGATCTTTTGTTTCACGATTTTGATTTTTTTAAATAATTCCATCGATTTTTAAGACAGACATAAATCTAAATATCGGTGGAAATTCCTGATATCTTGATTGTATTTTATCAAGTCGATCTTTTCTTTCGCGATTTTGATTTTTTTAATCTATTGTTTTGAATTGATTTTTCCAGGGAACGATTTACTTCAAGATCGGTGGTAAGTCTTAAGATCTCGATTCGATTTTATTAAGAATCGATCTTTCGTTTCACGATTTTGATTTTTGTATCAATTTTTCCAATGAGAGTGGAAATTGCTGAGATTCGAGAATCGAGAATCAATATTGTTTCCAAGGAGCGATTTATTTAAATATCGGTGGAAAGTCCTAAGATCTCGATTTGACTTTATCGAGAATCCATATTCTGTTTCACGATTACGATTTTTTGAATCGATTTTTCCAGGGAGGGATTGATCTAAATATATGTAGAAAAACCTATGATCCCGATTCGATTTTACCAAAAATCGATCTATTGTTTTACGAATATGATTTTTTGAATCGGTTTTTCCAGGATGAGATTGATCTAAAGATCGGATTAAAGTCCTAATATCTTGATTCGATTTTATTGAGAAGCGATCTATTGTTTGAGATTGGTGGAAATTCCTAAGATTTCGATTCGATTTTATCAAGAATCGTTTTACTGTTTCACGTTTTTGATTTTTTAATCGACTTTTTTAAATTTATTTAATGAATCGATTTTTTCAGGAAGAAATTGATCCAAAAATCGGTGGAAAGTCCTAATATCTTGAATCGATATTCTGTTTCACGATTTCGATTTTGAATCGATTTTTCTAGGGAGGGATTGTTTAAAAGATCGGTAGAACCTCCTATGATCCCGATTTGATTTTCTCAAAAATCGATCTTATATTTTGCGATTTTGATTTTTTGAATTGGTTTTACCAGGGTGAGTCTGTTCTAAAGATCGACCTAATATCTCGATTTAATTTTATCAAGAATCGATCCATTGTTTCACGATTTTGATTTTTTGAATCGATTCTACCAGGGAAAGATCAATCTAAAGATTAGTGGAAATTTTTAAGATCTCTATTCGATTTTTTTCGAGAATCGATCTTTTGGTTCACGATTTTGATTTTGCGAATCGACTTTTTTTAGTTAATTTTTATACATCGATTTTTACCATGAGATTGATCTAAAAGTCGGTGGAGTCATGAGATTTCGATTCGAGACTATCGAGAATCAATCGTTTGTTTTACGATTTTGATTTTTTAAATCGATTTTTATTCATCGACTTTTTGAATCAATTTTTCCAGGGAAACATTGATCTAAAGATCGATGGAAATTCCTAAGATATCTATTCGATTTTATCGAGAATCGTTCCATTGTTCCACGTTTTTTATTTTTTGAATCGACTTTTTTAATTGATTTAATGAATCGATTTTGCAGGAAGACATTGATCTAAAAATCGATGGAAAGTCGTGAGATCTAGATTTGATTTTATCGAGAATCGAACTTTTGTTTTACAATTTTAATTTTTAAATCGATTTTTTTTAATCGATTTTTTTAAATCGACTTTTTAAATCGATTTTTTGAATCGATTTTTATAAATAGATTTTTTGAATTACTTTTTCCAGTGGGCGATTGATCTAAAGATCGGTAGAAAGTTCTGAGATTTCGATACGATTTTATCGAGAATCGATCTTTTGTTTTACGATATTGATTTTCTGAATATATTCGTTTGATCGAATTTTTTAAATTGATTTTTATGAATCGGTTTTTTGAATCAATTTTTTTCAGGCAGAGATTTATCTAATGATCGGTGTAAAGTCACAAGATCTCGATTCGATTTTATCCAGATTGGATCTTTTGTCTCACGAATTTGATTTTTTTTTAATAGATTTTTTTAAATAATTTTTTCCAGGGAGAGATTAATCTAAAGATCGGTGGAAAATCCTAAAATCTCGATTTAATTTCATCGAGAATCGATATATTTTTTCAAGATTTTAATTTTTTTAATCGATTTTGAATTCAATTGTTACCGGTAGATTAATCCAAAAATCGATGGAATATCCTGAGATATCTGAGATATCCAGAGATCTAATTTTGTCCACCTCCTTTAATATGTTCCGTTGACCTTCCTTATCACCACTTAACCTCAAAAGAGAAGATTTTTTTATGAAATTGAATGGTTATTGTGTATCTTGGTTTATTGGAAAGTGGAAAAAGAACAAATTGTCCAAAAATAGTCTAAATTAAGAATGAATTTTTTAATTTTAAAACTAAAGAGCAATGTTTTAGGTTATTTTTTCGGGTTTCAATTTAATTTTATATTTTACATAGAATGAATCGATCTTCATGAGATCAATTTTGTCCCTTCTGATTTTTCTTTTATCGATCTTTGGCTCTACCATGTGAATCGATACTAAGAATCGATCTTTCTTATAGAAATCGGAAACCCTAGCTTTAAAAATAAATTTGAATACCGACCTGTGTATTGTAGACGGCTTGAACGCTGCGCTTGATCCTCAACATTTCCCGCATGGTATCCTCGTTACCGTGCCTCACCTCGAATTCTTTCCAGATCTGCCAAAACTCCGCCGTTATTCGCGGATCGCAAATTTGACTGCAATGAGCGTATATCGCTCGCGCTCTATCGATTTCGCCTGAAATAAAATTCCATTATGTACAACATAAAAATATTTATTAGTATTCCAAAACGATGAATGAAATAAATTTTTTTAACTCTTGAGTAGTCCGGAAAAAATTGAATAAAGTAATTTTTTAAGTTTATTTAAAATGGGCAAAAGTCTGAAAAAAGTTCAGACTAAAAATTGTAAAGCTTTATACTTTACATAAAATATGTTATTTGGAATTTTTTGCTATTAAACAGAGTTAGGGTGATTGGAAGTTAAGGGATGATCTGTACAACTCTAAAAAATCTTAATGAATTTTCAATTTAACCAACTGTGTTACCAATGAGTTTGCAATACGTTTTAATTAAAAAGTGGCCACCCTGTATATAAAGTACTCCATTAAATCAATATCTCTGACCGATGCTGAACGTGCGCCAAGTTTAGGACCCAATATTTAATTAAATACGAAAATAATGTTTTCGGAAAAACCATGGAGAATGTTAGTAATTTAAAGCTATTTTTCAAAGAAAGAAATTGGGTTTCAAACGTTTCTTACCCAATTTGGTTTCCATATCGGCGAATCGAAGGCACATTTCTCTGGTTTTATCCTCCGGAAGTACTTCGATGGCCTTTTCATAAATTTGTCGCGTCTTAGGTATACCGTAAATTTCGGCGGCCCTTTTGATATAAATGTTGAAAATATCGAACATCTCGTTTTCTGGAACCGCTGTTGTAGATCTAAAATAATAATGCAATTAGTTTGGGGACAGTCGTGGCGTAGTTTTAATATCTTTTATTATAAATAGTTTTTTAGAGTGTTGAATCCGAAACTGATGTTTGCAAATATCATTTTGAGACGCAACATTGAAAAAACTGCAAAAAAGGTTTTCTGATTATAACTCGGAAAAATTACCTTTTTGTAAATATTCTCCCTAAAATAAAAGTATGTAAAATGTTCGACAAATTTCACTATTTAGGTTTTCACCCCAACGAATCGTGCGAACTCAAGCCCTAATTGAAAAGTGGCGTGTTTTCACTGTTTATGCAAAAAAAGCCAATTTTCAACTAGCATTGGAATCGGAACGGTTTATCAGATGAAAAACGTAAGTAATAAAATGTGTAATACATTTTATGTACTTCTATGTTACATAGTTGGTTATTTACAAAAGGTTGATATTTCCGAATTATATGCAAAATCCCCCCCAAAAAAAAATGGACAAACACAAACATAAAATGGAAGAAATAAAAACTACCCCACACATTTCCTGGTAAAAACACAATTTGACTGGATTATAACGAAATTGTCAACCTAAATAAAAACTAAAACCAATAGATTAAGACGCCTTACCTTTCGTAAACGGCCATGGCGTGCCTGGCCATTCCGTGTTCCTCTTCTAATTTGGCATACAGCAAGTACAGATGTTTGGCAAATTGCGGCGGACACCCATCTAAACACTGTTCGAACAAATCACGAGCTCGTTCCAGTTTCGTACCACCGTATCGTTTTAAAAACTTCGTTAAGTAAGTGTTCCAAATATCGTACACGTTCGGCCATTTGAACAACGATATACCTTTTTCGTATGCCCTACAATTACACATATAAAAAAATACTCTTCAATAATATATAAAATTCGTTAATTACCTGAAAGCCTCCTCGAAATAGTTGTTTTCCTCCAGAAAGACGCCGTAATTGATGATTATTTGTGGCGTGGCGATTTTCAATTCGATGATCCTGTCGTAGATGGCTTTGCAGGATTTGAACGTTCCGAAACTTTCTTCCAAATCGGCGTACATTGACCAAACTTTTAAGGATTTGTAGAGACGACTTTGGACCGTTTCTGAATCGTCGTGATATGCCACTTTGCGGCTGGGCATTACCGTTGCCCTATAATTATTAAACCAAGATTATAAAAAAAATGTGATGTTAAATCAAAACAAATCACTTTATAACCAACATCATACGAAAATAATGTATTGATATAGAAAAATGTGACGTCATCACAATTTATGAACTATGCAAAAATCAAAATTTAATTTAAAAACAGGATGTCGATTTTTCTTGAATTATCATGAGATTTTTTAAAAACTCAGTGAGAAATAAAAATATCAGAAGGGATTTTTGTAATTATAAGAGTTGTTGGATGTTATTAGAAGTAGATAAATTATAGATAGATTGGAAGTTGTTTGAAGAAAGATTTTAAATAAAGAAAAATACAAAAAAAGGTAAAGAAAATTTTATTTGGGGAAAAAGGTGAATAAGATAGCAGAAAGGAGAATTGAGCAGAGAGGAAATAAGAGTAATGAGAAAGATTATATGAGAACAGATTAGAATAGCAGTGAGCAGGGGAACAAAGAAGAAACATCCAAAAACTAGAATTTTTTGTATCCCTAATTTGACTTTAAATTTTGTTTTGTAAATTCATATAGAAGGAATCACCCCTGTTAAGAGTTTCGGGCAAATTTTTTATTATTTTTGGATACTAGGTGTCTCCATATCAAGTGGCGCCCAACGTGGGGCATTTTTGGAATGTAATTTGGATCCATAAGTAAGGTCGACCTTCACCCATCTGTTTAATGAATAAAAGTTTCTTTTTTTATTAAATAAAATGTTTTTAAATATACCGCAAATGAGTTGCCTAAAAAAATACTGTCACGGCCATTTTTTACTTTCCTTTCTGTGTACAGATAAGGAAAGTATAGGAATCATGATAAAAGTTGCTTAGGAAATCATTCTCTATTATTTTGTCCCTATACATGATTTCCCTAAAATGGACCTAATTCGAGATATTTGAGAAAAAGTCAAAATTTCGAATTATGAAGATAACTCAAAAACGGATAAAGAGAAAAACACCAAATTTTAAACTTAAGTTTTAATTTATCATGCGTCGTTTTTTTACTTTAAGAAAATAGTCTGGACCGTATTTTCTTAGGCAACCCATTTGCAGTATATTTATAAACATATATTATTTAATAAAAATAAACTTTCATCCATTAAACAGATGGGTGAAGGTCGACCTTACTTCGGATCTTGGACCAATAGGAATATTTGGAATTTAAATTTGGTTGACTTTTTATAATTTTATTCTATTTAATTGTTGATGTTGGTCTATCAACTATATTTTTGGTAGTAGATAAAAGTAGTTGGTGTTTTATTTGTAAAATTGTAAAAAAAAAGATAGAAAGGAAGAAAATTAAATGGATTTAAAAGGGGGAAAGAAGGTTGGATTGGAGGAGAAACAATTTAAAGAAGTGGAAGATGTTATAAGAGGGGATACGGATAAACAAAATATAAGTAATACTGTTAGTAAAGAAAAGAAATAGAAGCAAACAATAATTAGAGAAAAATTTGAAAATGATGCAATTATGATGATGCTGAAAAAATGGATGAAGATAGACAACAAGATAAGGAAGAAATGAGGAAAGATATAGAATAGTTAATGAACAAAATGGAGGGAATGGAAAATGAAATGAAGAAACAAATAATAAATAAAATGGATGAAAATAGAAGAGAGGACAAAGAAGAAATTAAGAAATGCATAAAAGAAGATGAAGAAGAGATGATGCTGATGATTGGAAAAATGGAAGAGAAGAGAGACGGAATTGAAAAAAATAGAGATGAAATTGGAAGAATCGATAAAATACATAAAATATAGGAGACCAGGTCAGATAACAAAGAAGAACAGCAGTGAGCAAAACTTGTATTCATTAAACAGAAAAGTCAAGAAAATGTAGGACATCCTATATAACAAACTGATTCATCGAAATTAAACTAAAATGGAATTTTAATTTGAAAATTGAATAATTCAAACAGAAAATTTAACGTAATATCATGAAATTCCTAAGTCCGACTCGCGGCCTTCACGTCTGTGGCAGCCGACTCGTGCTAGAGGCGATGGAATATTCTGGAAATGCCGCTGAGGCTCGAGAAACGGGTAGAACGGACGGAGTGTGCCGTTGAGTCAGAGATGGAATTTTCTTGACCATCGGGAGTATTCTGGTTACAGAGTTGGCTTGATATAAATATCGCGAGTGTGAAGACGGCGGTCAGTTGATTATAGACAGTTTAGTTTAGAGCATTGTAATGAAAAGTTAAAGTGTAATAAATAAATTAGAATTGTTAGTTAGTGTCTAAGTATTATATAAATTAAATAGTACGTCTAAAATAAATTGTAAATAGTGTGTTTTAAATAAATAAACTATAAATAAATTAGACTCTCGTCACAGGTAATGTGGCAACTCTATATAACAAACTGACATTTGAACTAAAATAGAAGTATAATTTGAACATTCCTTATGTCAAAACTTTTTTTATCAAACAGAAAAGTTAACAATATGTGGGACATCCTGTATAAGAAACTGGCGCTCCAAATTTTAAATAAAATGGAATTAGAATTTAAGAATTGTTTGTCAAAATTGTTATTCATCAAATTAAAAAGTAAATGAAATGTGGGACATCCTTTATAACAAATTGAAGTTCCAAATTAAAAAAACAATTATAATTTGAGAATTGCTAATTCTAGAACCTTTAAGAAAATGTGGGACATCCTGTATAACAAACTGACTCTCCGAATTTGAAATAAAATGGAATTCTAATTTAAAAATTGCTTACGTCAAAACTTTTTTATCAAACAAAAAAGTCAACAACACATGGGACATCCTGTATAACGAATTGAGACTGAATTTTAAATATTAATGACATTTCAATTTAAAAATTGTAGAGTTCAAAACTTTGTTTTTCAAACAAAAAATTGAAGAAAATGTGGGACATCCGGTATAACAAACTCACTCTCCGAATTTTAAATAAAAAGGAATTAAAATGTGAGAATTGTTTGTCAAAATTTTTATTCATGAAATAAAAAAGTCAATGAAATGTGGGACAACTTGTATAACAAATTGAAATTCCAAATTTTAAATAAAAAAAACAATTCTAATTTGAAAATTGCAAATTCTAGAACACTTAAGAAAATGTGGGACATCCTGTATAACAAACTGACTCATCGAATTTTAAACTAAAATGGAATTATAAATTAAAAATTGCTTATATCAAAACTTTTTTATCAAACAGAAAAGTCAAAAACGTATGGGACATCCTGTATAACGAATTAAGGCTCTGAATTTTAAATAATAATAATAATATTCTAATTTAAAAATTACAGATTTCAAAACTTTGTTAATCAAACAAAAAAATTCAAGGAAATGTAGGACATCCTGTTTAACAAACTGACACTCCGAATTTTAAATAAAATGGAATTCTAATTTGAAAATTGCTTACGTCAAAACTGTGATTTAAAAAGAAGAAATATCTTTTTTAGAATTGAAGATCAAATTTAAAAAAAAAGTATTTTTTTTAATAACTTCATTTTCTTGAAAACTATCCCTAAAAAGAATGCATAACTCACCTCTGCATTAGCCTCAGCGCTTCGTCGTAATTCTCGTTTCTGATCTCCATTTCCGTCCATTCGCACCACACGGTGGCCAAATCGTCGACCTTGACGTACGACACTTGCGAGGCCTTTTCGAAAATGAGTCGAGCCTCCTCGATTTGCCCGTTGGTTTCGTAAAATTTGGCGAAATCCACCCAAAGTGTGTGCAATTTGCCCACGGCCAATTTCGGTTCCACAGTTTGGACGGCTTCAGTGTACGTGTTAATTATTTCGTGCGGTTTGCCTAAAGGATATACTCGTAATAAAGTCAAAGATAAAACAAATTTGATTAACCGAAAAATATTATAAATAATAGTAGATAAATGGGAGATCAAAATAACCAATGAAATATTCAATATTAATTTTAAGAATTTTTGTTTAGTACGTGTTAATTTTTGAAAATGTCAGTCTTTTTTAGAATATCAAATAAAAAAAACCTTTCAAAAACATACTCAATAAAAGTTGGTACATGTCCTAAAACGCAACAGCAACTTCATTTAAGGTTGGTTCAAAAATATAAATTTTCCTAAAGAATAAAGAAAGTTTTAAAAATAAAAAAAAATCGATATTTATAAGCAAATATAACATTGAAAATACTGACCTTCATAAAGTTGTACTCGTTTGTGCCATTCCTGTACGTTATGAGGATTCTGGCGCAACAAAACCGAATTCAAAAGCAACAATCTGCGCTCCATCAGATATTCAAATCTGGCCAGTCTCAATTCCAGTTCCGTATCATCGTCTTCTGACGGATTTTGCTTCGTCGCCACTTCCTCCATACGTTTACTTAAACTGAGCTCCTCGAATTGAGCGTAAGCGTCAAAAACCTGTTCAAAATAAATGACACAGGTAAATTCTTTATAAGAATTGTTTAGATAAAAAAACATGGTTCTATAACAAGTATTAAAAGTAATTTTAAAAACCGACTTCAAAATCGTGCAAATGCCGTTACCACATCTTAACCAAATTTTTATGGGACCACCCCTGAGGTACCCCCTTACTAACTAAAAAAGAATCATAGAAATCGGACAATGTGGTAAAGAATTATCGCTAAACATACATAAAAAATGGAGAGTTTGAGGATTTTTCTTATGGACCAAATTATTAGATTTTGACCAAATTTATATGAGTCCACCCATGAGGTACCCCCTTACTAACAAAAAAAGAATCATACAAATTGGACAAGGTGGTGACGAATTACCTACTAAACAAACATAATGAAGAGTTTAAAGATTTTTTAATAGACCCAATTATTAGATTTTGACCAAATTAAGATGGGACCACCCCTGAAGTACCCCCTTTCTAACAAAAAAAGAATCATTGAAATCAGACACCGTGTTAAAGAATTATCGCTGGATATACATAAAAAAAATATATTACGACGAATTGAGAACCTCCTCCTTTTTAGGTGAGTTAAAGATGAGCTTAATGTCTTTAAATCACGAAAGACAGGAGATTGTCACCATGAAGACATGGATGCAAAAGTATTTGAAAAGTAGTTTCAATCTACTCTTACCCATTTAAAACAGGGTTCAGTCATTGTATTAGATAACTTGTCTTTAGAAAAACTTTCCAGCTGAAATATTCAATTGATTGAAAAAGGAAAATATATGTATATTGAACCGAAAATAAAATTGTATAAAATTAAAATGCATATTTATCGTATACATGTAAAACATTAAAATTGCGTGACACTGGAAAAATTTCTTGCTGTCCCCTACGCTCTACGTATTCGGAGGTATGTCAGGATTTTATTACACACTCCTGAAATTTTTTACTGTCTTTAACTATTTTAAAGTAGTTGCAACCTTCCCTTCTGTATATTTAAAAAAAAAGTTAATTATATTTATCAATAATTTAAATATACAGATAAATAAAATTATGAATACTTTCTTGAAAGAAAATTTAAGTATGTAAACATATTTTTTACTTTATATGTTTATTACCTGAGTGAAATCTCTAACGGTCGTGACAGTCTGAATCGCCTCTTCATATATATCTCTAGCCCTCTCGAATAAACCGCTTCTCACGTAATAATTAGCCAAAGAATTCCACAAATGACCTAATTGATCGGTATATCGCCTTAAGCCGCCCCTGATGATCGCATCGACGTTTAAAGAATGAACTTTCTCGGGGTTTTTAGAGATGAGTTCGCAAAGCTCGTTCCACAGCTGATGTTTGGATTTTCCTTGTTGCGAAACGAAATTTTCGTCATTGACTATTTTAGCCATGAGCATTGCAGCTTCGTCTAATCTTTCTATATTTGATAGGTAGTCTATGTATTCCTCTGCATTTTCTGGGCACAATTTCATATATCTACGATAATTATATGTATTATTAAGATTAATTTAATAAATGGAAACAAAAAAACATTTTATAACACTTTTCTCCATGTTTCTGACCAAAAAAGCAAAAAAAATTATCAAAACTTTCGGTTACTTGATAATTTCTTCCAGCCGAAAAGCCTATTGATTTTTGAGAATTTTCGGATTGTTTAAAGCTTTATTCAATTTTTTGTATATATTTTCATTTCATATATTTCATTCAGTCATATTCAAGTCATTCAAGGTGAGAAGACGTGTTCGTTTCACTGGGCAAATAAATCTATATTTCTACCGATTTATAAACTATATAATGTTAAAAAAATAAACAACTAGTGAATTAAATAAAATGTGATAGTACTATAGTGTAGTAAATAAACTGTTTATGTGAGTCACAGTTGCATAGATTAATGCATTATCTCTGCAATTTCACCAAAATAAAATCTACCAAGGAAACAAAAAACACAAAAAACATAGCAAACTTTATCAGATGACAAAAAAGTTTAGGTGAAATAAAATAAACACCAATATGTTCTACTAAGCAATCATACAAATAGAATATCCAGTGGCGTGCCCACATTTAGTTTATAAAATAAGAAAATGATTTAATAAGAAAAATGGCAATGAAATGCTCACAGTGGGAGATTATTCATCATGATGGTGTTGTAATTTTGGTCAGGTCAAATCTAAATGCAGAATTAAATATAGTTAAACTGGAATATTCTGATATTTGTGTCACTAAAATAAATCTAAAAGTCAATCATCAGACCATTGGTATTACAGGTGTATACAGGTCTCCTCAAACCTCTGCACAAGCATTTATAAGGAATTTAGAAAGCTTCGTACCAAATCACCTAAATAGAAATATTAAAATAGTCATAGGGGGCATTAATATTGATCTCCTAAATGTAATTAATCAAGTAACTACTGATTACCAAGCAACTTTTTACTTCCATGGTTTCATGTCTTACATAAACACTATTAGGAGTTCACAAAGTAAAACATGATTGAATCATATATTCTTAAAAACCAATATTACTACTGAAAATATATCGGTGAACTCTTATATAATCAGCTATGATATGACTGATCATTATCCTATTATGATAAATATCTCACAATCTGCCAAAAACTACACAAGTTCCTACAATACATATAAAACTATAACTAAAATCGATACTGATAAATTAAAACAAAAATTCGAAACTGTAAACTAGGAAAGTGTTTGCAATGAAAATAATCCAGAAATTGCAACACAACTTTTTTATGACACGTATCTTAATATCATTGAAACTCAAAATATTAAAATTAAAATCCATAAAAAAATAAAGCCATGGATAACAAATGGTTTAATTAATTCTATTAAAACTAGGGATAAACTTAAAAAAGATCTACAAAAAAACTATACTATTAGCAAACAAACTCACTATAAAACATTTAGAAATAATTTAAACAAACTACATCCGTATTTACTGGAACCTTTAATGCATATAATTAATTGTATTTTTAATACAGGAATCGTACCTAAACAATTTAAAACTTCAATTATAATACCTATTTATAAAGCTGGTAATCCAAAATTAATAACTAATTATAGACCTATTAGTTTAATTAGTAATATGGCCAAAATATTTGAGAAATGTATGAAAGATAGACTGACAGATTTTTTAAAAACTAATGACTTACTTCCCGAGCACCAATATGACTTTACTGAGGGTCTTAACTCAGAAGATGCTATGCATGAATTGATTTCATATGTTACTGATGAAATAAATACTGGTAACAAGTGTATAGCTATAGTTCTAGATCTAGCAAAAGCATTTGACACGGTGCCACATCAAAAGCTCTTAAATGTTCTTGAACAGAATGGAGTGAGGGGCATCGTGTTGAAGGTTTTTGAAAATTATTTGACACACGGACAACAGAAGGTAAAGGTCAGAGACAATGTGAATAACCCTGAAAATATACAAATCGAAGTGCCTCAAGGAACTGTTCTGGGATCTATACTATTTCATTTATACATTAAGAGCTTAACTTAGATTGATATTCAAGTTAAAGTTGTATCATATGCTGATGATACAATTTCTCAACCAGGATCTACTTACTAATAATATTATACTACAGTCTAGTAGAATCTATACTATGGTATGGAATCTTAGTATGGGGAGGCCTGTATGGAACTATATTACAAAACAAAATCTTAAAGTTAATATATAAAAGAGATAGATTGTGTCCCACCATAACTTTATATAATGAAAAAATAAAAAATTAGCAATGTTAGATGAATTTTTAAAAAACCCTTTAGAACATAGACATAACACTAGAACTGCATTGAACATGTGCATTAAAGTACCAAAACCAAATAGTGAGTTTTTTAAAAACAGTGTAAATTATCTAGGGACAAAGTTCTATAATGCTCTACCTCTTCATATAAAATTATTAAACAAATATAAAAAATTCTGTAAAGTTAGCAAAATATACATTTTTCAAAATAATGCAAAGTTTTATCAGAATATTTCAAGAATAACAGACTTAATACATGGATTTTTTTTAAATAGTTTTTTTTTGTTTCTTGCATAAATTGTTTTATTTTTTTATTTAAAAAAAAATGTTTTTTTTTATTTCCTTTATAATTCATTAAATATAATTAAAATAAAATTTTAATTTTTGTCAGCACATACATGTGTTCTCACCTAGGTGCTTGTAAATTATATAATTGGTTTCCATTATTGTACTTTATTGTAACTTATTTATCATTGTAACTTATAACTATTAAACTATTTTCAATCTACTATAAATACTCGTGTCTTGTGTATGCCAGTACGGATACATGTGTAAATTTAATATTAAATCTAGTAAAAACTGTCACTGATATACAATGAATAGTATTACAAATTGCTTAGAAGCTCATAAAAAAGAGAATTAAAAATGTTTATTTTTGAAATATTTTGTAATATTTCAGTTTATTTTTTACTTAGGTTAAGCAATCTCTATTTCTTATTTTAAAATTATAATTTAGAATGTATATCTTTGAAATCAGGTCAAAAGGTATAGCCATGTTTGTCAACTGTAAAACCACAGACACTTTTTTTTACAAGTGAAAATCAATGAGGATCTTAAGCAACAGGATGGTAAAAAAAGATTTTGCACAAGTTTTAATGAACTCCAGAATGGAGTTAGGATTAAAAATGCAAAGGACCCAAATAATATTTTTACATATTTTTAAGAGGTAAAGATGCCAAATATTTTTATACAGACGAGATTAAGTGGTGAAGAGCCAAATGTTTTTACATTAACAGACTAAAGGGGCAAAGGGCCAAAATAGTTTTTACATGGGCATGTTAAAGAGGCAAAGCAAAGGGCACAAGTATTTTTAGGTGCTTGCTTAAGAGGTAAAGGGGTCGTGAACAGGAGGTTGAAGGGGCAAAATAGTTTTACAAACACAAGCTTAATATAAAAGGGTCCAAATATTCTTACATATATGCAAGCTTAAGAAGTAAAGGCATCAAATATTTTAAATGGGCAGATTAAGGGATGTAGGGACCAAACATTTTTAAATGGCAGAGTAAAGGGCCCAAATATTTTTACATAAATTTGGGAAACCCAATCAAAAGGTGGATAATGGAGGGGAGGGGAATAGTTGGACAGTGGACAGCTGAGAATAAAAATATTTTTTTTTTTTTGTTAAATTCTTAAAAATATTCAATCTGTTTCACTCTTTGTTGCCTCACGTTGTCTGTATTTTTACTAAGTTATATTGATGAACTATTGTTAATGTGTTTTTAATAGTAGGTATACAACTATTAGTGCATTACTAAATAAAGAATTTGTACATTACCTTCGAAACACTCTTACAGCCGTTTCTTGAATATCATGTTTCTGTACGAATTTCAAATACAAAGGCCAAATTCTATTGTGCTGCGTAACAGGTAAAGCTCTAAGAGCTCGGTCGAATACTTTCCTAGTTCTGGTAATTTTACACTGATCTGTCAAAAATGTGCAATAATCCATCCATATCCTGGGCATTTTATGCATAAACACTAAAGATCGTTCGAAAGCGTTATTCACTTCTTCATAACCCGGATCCGTTATACATTTGCTTTTGATTTGGTTTCTTCTGGTTCGTAAGTAGTTGTACCACAGTTTATAAGATCCTGGTAATTGTTTTAAAGCTCTTTCAAAAATAATGTTAACTCCGTTATTCGGGGCCGATTTTTTATGATCTATATACCGCAACCAATGTTTCACGGAATACGGATTTCGCAAAATTTCTTCTTCATAGGGTAGGTCATCATCATTCTAAAATATATTAGAGTATATTTATATTATATACAACAAATTACGTATTAATTATACTCACAAAAGTAATTTCCATTGGTTCCGATTCATCTCCAGGCTTTAAACCCATTTTAATCACATTTATTTTAACTGTGTTTTCAAAATAGACTTAAAAACGTAGTTTTATTTTAGGTTATATTATGACATTTATGAGTTGACAGTAAATATAACTGAAACCAAACCTAGTTAAAGGCTAAGTATTATTTATAAAAACCTTCAAAACTTGGGCATCAAGAGTCTACTAAAATGTTTTTTGTATAATTTTAATTCCTTTTATTGTATATTATCGAATGCTATTGTTTTATTTAAATTTATTAGAGTCTTCATAATTTGAATTTAAAAAGTAGGCGTCGAATTAAAAAAAACAGAAGAAGAGTGTCGATAGTAGTTTATATGTACCTACATATACAATTGGTAGTTACAATGTCTTGTCAATTTTTGACACCGGGTTTTTAATTTTAAATTTACTTTCCTATTTAAGAAATGTTTTATAAACAACAAACACCCCGAAATTAGACTGAAATAATATCAGGTGTTTAAGCAAGGCTGTGCTATACGAATATTATTAAGTGTTAGTGCGCGAACGGAAACCTAACCTCTATTGATGTAATAATATTTATAATTTTAAACAATTATGTCGTTTTTACTGAATTCCGGACAAGCGAAACAATATTTAAATACGTTTAAGCAAATTTTACCTCTGGATATCCATTTAACTACTACACAAAAGGTAAATACATGCTTAATTTTAACTGTTTCTATATTTGTAATTTTTAGGTCGTGATAGGTTCTGTATCAGCAAGCGTAGTACTGATAGGAGTTCTAGCAAGGCTTCTTCGTAGAAAGAAAAACATGCTAGACCCCTCAAAGTTGCCGAAAAATATTTTTAACGGTAAATACTCGCGGTTGTCTGGTATTAGAAGTCCGTTTGGTGGTAAGTTAGTTTTCTATCATTTAATAGATATTTTGAACTTATTATGGCTTAATCTTTTTGTTTAGAGTGTTGCAATGTCTTAAGATTAGATGACCACTAAGTAATGGTTATTTACTATTGCTTAGAACAATTTTTTTCAATGTTATAGATGTGGGAAGTGTGGCTAGTAGTGGCAGGAGAAGTGGAACTTACAGTATACCAGGAGAACGATATAGACAAAGTTCTATAGCTGCTAGTGGCAAAGCATCAGTTGCTTCTGGTAGTATAGTGAGCAGTGGTTTGCCCATACCTGAGGGACTCGACACAACTAATTTAACTCCACAGCAGCTGGGAGTTATGGGTAAGTCATTTTTAAATAAACTTTGTTGTTTAATATTGAAACATTTATGGTGGTTCTGAATACCATTTTATGCAAGGTCTTGCTCTTATTTAGAAAATGTATAGGTATTTATCTAGATCAATTTTTTTTAATTAATCTTAGATGCTCTTACAATGACATGAGACATGTCACCCAAATTGGAACCTAAATCCAATTATTCTTTGTTGACTAATGTCACCGCGATTTCACTGTGCATGAACGTTATATATGAGTGTATTCTTTCAGAAATGGGGTTTTTGAAAAAAAAATTGAAATTTCATACCTTCATATCTCAATTAGTTCTAACCGATAAATAGTGTGTAATATACCATTTTGTAAGTTTCATAGAGTAGATTCTGAATTTGTTGAGGTAACTTCAAGAATAGTGCAGATGTCGGTGTGAATAATATCACAAAAAATTGATAGGTCCCTCCTGATATTTGATAAAACTGTTAGAAATTAGGATGCGTTTATTTTTCACAGCATCTTATAGATTTTGAGGCGTATGTTCCAAATATGTGTTTATTTTTTGAAAATCAGATTTTCCAAAGTTTTCAAGATTTCCAATATTTATATATACCATTTTGTAGTGTTTCTAGAGATAAATTTAACGCCACAAACCATATCTTCCTAATCAAATGGTTACTACAATATTTAACAGTTTTTTTCTGTTAAGAATCTACAAAATTGATCTAAAATCCTATTATCTGCCCTTAGGAACAAATTTTGAACTATTGAGATATTTATATATACCAGAATAAGCCTGCAATACATTTAATAACTATTTCAAAACAGCTGCTCTGCAAATTCTAGAAAATATAAATATAGACAAAAGCCCTACTTACTAGGTGGTATTGCAATCTTAAATATTTCAAATTCGTGTGATAAGTTAGGATTAGAAATATTGTAGGGTCCATTTTAGTTGTTTTTTCTATATGCATTAATATTTTGATATAAGGGTTGCAAACTGTATGATAGATGTAATTTGTAACAGTTGGAACTGTTATTTCGACACAATCACCTCTTATTCAAATGTCATTTATATACTTTGTATCAGAGAAAGTCACATTGATTTTGATCTAACACAGCGAAGAATAGGTCACTTATATTTTGATTAATCTGGGTAATCCGATGTATTAAATTATATTTATCTATGTTAATGACCGTCTGATTTTATAAGGTAGGTTTTATTTATAATATTTTATTCAATATATATTTTTGTTCGACGATTTCTTGACAAATGACATTTGAGTAAGAGGTGATTGTGTCGAAATAACGGTTCCAACCGTTACAAATTATTAATCGAAAATTATGGCACTATGGGTTTTGCTAGGTTTTCCTCTAATCCTGGTGAATATGCCATTCTAACTCTGTAAGTCAACCTAGTTTGCTAAACAACACTATAACATCGTGCAGTTGGTATTTTACATCAATTTTTATTTTTCTTTAATATTTAGTTAGGATAACATAATACACTTGTCACTAGTACAAGAATAAAGAATTTGAATTTGTGTTAAATGAGAAAAGTTCAATGCCATGATACACATATTCATAGCATAAATATTTAATTTTTTGAGTTATTGTATTCTGTAGTAAAAACTAACCCAAATTGAAGCCCTTACTGATAATGTCACTGTGATTACAATGTGCAAGAAAGTTATTCAAGGGAGTATTTATCCACCCCCTAACAGAATGCATATCATGTCGGTATTCAGTGTATTATAAGTTATTTTCGGCTCATTTCTAATTGATCAACATCCTGTAATAAGTAATAGATCATTTTGTTGGACTTATTGAGTATCCTCATCATCATCCTGCGAACAATTTTGTGTCAAAAGGTCAAAAATTTTCACCGGTACTATAAAATTATATTACCAAATCAGGTCCTAGACTAATACAATACCTACAAACAGTATATTAAAAAAAAAAATAAATAAAACACAACAACTATTTAGGTTTTAATTTATTTCATAATGAATATCTACATAATACAGGAATGTACAATAATAATTAAACAAAAATAATATTTACTTTACACAAAGTTTTCAGTCCAATATGAATCACAAAGAACGGTAGCTGTTTATTCCTCTTAAGATAGGTATATTGTCACTATTTTTTATTTCTTGTATAGTTTAAGCAGAAATTGATATATTTTTTTGGTCGGATAGATCCCGAAATAGATGATATTTTTATTTAAACAGTTTTTAAGCCTTAATTGTAACAAAGCCGCAAGTATCAACTAAAAATTTGCAAAAATTCTAATTTTCTATTGCAACGACCTCGCCTATCTAGATAATAAAATACACAAGGGAGACTGAGTCAACTTTTTGAATCACTATTAACGCGTTTTTTGATTGTCATTCAATTAATGATTGAATTATTTATAGTTATGCATTCTTATATTAAAAAAGTAAGCAAACTAATCAATCTGTATTTATTAATTTTGTGATGCTTATTGTTTATGTAAGTAAAACGTAACAAACGAAGTCAATACTGATCAACTTATTAAAAAATGTTTTTATTAGTATTTAATAAACAGTACTCCATTGTCCATTGGCGAAATGTTGTCATCAAAACAAAGTACCAGCATTAGATACAAATTTCTATTCTAGACAGAGATCTTTGAGTTTCTTTTTAATTTCTAGCCATACATTGTATTTGTATCTTCTCTAAATTTCTGTATCTATTACAGTGCGAGATTAAACATTTCAGATATAGGTAAAGCAAATTTTTATTAGCACTTCGTATTTGTAAAAAAATCACTATAAAGTACTGAGTAAAATAATTTTGATGGAGTAAATATTTAGTTGATACCCACCCATTTTAAAATGTAATATGTCTTTCAACGACTTTGCATTTAAAGCATAGATATGAAACATGTATAATTAATAATTAGAAAAGTTATTTGAACATATTATATAGGTACACAAATGTAAAATGTCTCTGTCTCTGTCTGACTACAAATTATTCCAAAAATTTATTATCAAATGAATTTTTGAAACATCCGTAGGTACTACCTTTTTGTACTAAAAAAAAAGATAATATATTGATTTTTTTTTAATTTAAATCTTAGTTTTTATACTACATAGAGAATAAGATCAGATATTTTCTTTTTCTTCTTATTTCCGACAGGCCAGCTTGTTTTGTACCTTTTTTTAAATACTGAACAATTTTAGCAAAAATATATGCCACACAAAATCTCTACAATTTTCGACTCTTGCAAAATATATATCTTCTTGCTAAGGATTTTTTCTTTTTCATTCTTAATTTTAATATCTAGAAATCAATTTTTTGTACCAAAATTTATCCTAATTCTATGGTGGAATGATATGAAATTGTGTGTAGGCCAATATTAATATCCGTTATCTACCAATTATGAAAAAAATCTTACAAACTATTTGTATGCTTAAAATTATAAAATTAGAGCCATTTTTGATTCAGTCTGATTCAATTGCTTCTGTGATCTCCCACGTATGCGTTTCATTAATAAAACCATTCTACAGCGTTTATGCCGATACTGGCCATAGGACGGTCCCGATTTGGCCCCTGTTGAGTTTATGGCTTGGTTTAGTTAGATTGTTGTAATTCTGGAGGTTATACACTATTTTCAGGAACATTCTGTAGATAAATTAACGTTTTTAAGACCATTTTATTTACTACGTTTCTGCCGATACTGGAAATAGGACGGTCCTGATTTGGCCCTCGTTGGGTTTATGGCTTGGTTTAGTTAGATTGTTATAATTTCGGAGGATGTACACTATTTTTAGAAACAAACTGTAGATAAATTAACGTTTGTAAGACCGGTCTACTACGTTTTTGCCGATACTGGCCGTAGGACGGTCCTGATTTGGCCCTCGTTGGGTTTATGGCTTGGTTTAGTTAGATTGTTATAATTCTGGAGGCTATACACTATTTTCAGGAACATACTGTAGATAAATTAACGTTTTTAAGACCTTTCTACTACGTTTTTGCCGATAGTGGCCGTAGGACGGTCCCGATTTGGCCCCCGTTGGGTTTATGGCTTGGTTTAGTTAGATATTTATATTTCTAAACGTTCTACACTATATTCAGGAGCATGCTGTAGATAAGTTAACGTTTTACAATGTTCATAAAAAAACTTGCCAATATTTCGAATTTTCTTCAATTATAAGTAAAGAAAATTATTTTACCTAGATTATTTTCCGAAAAAATTGATTCCTAGATTTACAAAACTCTTAAAATAACTGCCAATTTGATTTTTTTTCACTCTGTGTTATTGAACTATAAAAAACATACAATTACTATATTTGACATATCACTGCTACGGTCTTTTATTTATATTGTTAAAATATATAAAGACATCTGAATGACCCTTATTTAGTTTGCAATGTTCATTTTTATAATTTTAAAATATAAAAATTTATCATTACAAATTTGGTACATTTTTTTAATAGTTCAATAACTTTTGGAAGAGCCCTCGTACGATAATTGGACGTCGTAAGCACTTTTATCACCAACATATTTTCGGCTTTTGATATTGTTTCGTACCGCAACAAATCCTTTTTTTTTTCCTATATACAAATTCTATATACATGTAATCTAAAAATATTGAGAAAACGTTTACAATAATTTAAAATTTAGCCGAAGAAATTCTTAAACATCGTTATAATTATCTGCTCCTTTTCGGAGACGTCGATTTCACAAAAAAAATAATTATAAATTATTACAACCTTAATTCCATATTAAAGTCTGTTTTGGAATCATCTGGGTATTTAAAAAATTAAATAAAACATGTTCAACCGAAATGTGAACAAAATCTATTCTAAAATTTACACGTTTAAATAATAATTAATTATTTATTGCCAGTGTCTTATTGAAACTACCTTAAAACTGTTTGTTTCTTCATCAAGACTTATTTAATTACTAAACGAAAAATAATATAAATATTAACTGTTGATCTACCAAATTTAGTAACAGGTTACTGTGTGCCACAAGGAGAGGTCTTGGGCCCATTACTATTTACGATTTAAATTAATGATATTGGAATGTTGTTTAAAAAAGCATTTGTAAATATTTCTACAGATGATACAATAATAATATAATTAGCAAACATTATAAATAAATCACAAATATCATACAATACAAGTAAAGTTGAATAGTTGGTGTTCAGAACCAGAGTAAATTGCACAAAATGCATTTGAAAATATTTGGAAGTGATGATAAATCCGTGACTCTTGTTTACCAGTCTTGTAGTTTTTTATACAAAAAAAAAGTAGGGAAATAACGTTAATTTTTTTAAATATTTAATTTTGACATAATGATTCTTTTTGCAAGTCCCGAAGAAGAAACACCTTCTACAGGCATGACAGAAAATGTGCATACAAACTTTGATAGTTTCCACTTTTTAAACTGTCTTAATACCCAAGGATAATGAATTTTGAATTATTTTTCGACTTTAATATGGAAGATACTATTGAACTACATTTCTGACGTTCCAAACACTGGTATGCGCCCCTTAAAAGTAAAATTAAACCCGCAGGTCGATCATTGCCTCTCATGTGTTTGTTGTGAAATCACTAGCGCCAAGCGACATTCGAAAATAAAGTTAATAATAAACATGGGAATGAATAGTCTTTTACGTGAACATCAGCAACGTTAGCATCAGTGAAATACTCGTTAACAGACTGGATATTAGCGAGGCAGCGCTACTTTTGCTTTCTCCAGTTTTTGCATCCTTGATTGTAGAATTTTGTTCGTCTGATTGCATATTGTCGTGCTTCTTGTCGCCGGTTTGGAGATTGTCTGGTACTTTGGAGTCTTGCATATCCGGCGGAGATATGGGAGTCACCTAAAACAAGTAAATTATTTACCTGAAATTGCTACCAAGCTGTACCAATTTATTATAAGTATTAGAGGTGGTGTTTGTATTTATGTTAAATAACAAAAATTATCAATGGTGATGTCAACGCATTAGTAGAATTCTCATCTAGTCATGATATTGTAACTAACACATCAAAATCAACTATTCAAAACTTTGGACTTAAAACTATCAAAATTATTATTTTGTACTCTTTCCAGTTCAATGTCTTTAACAGTCTGTGCAGATTCTATCTTTGATCTTATGTAAGTTTCAGGATCATATCTTAGTTCTTTTGATAAGGTAAATGAGACTTGACTTTCTTCACTATATTAGCAATGTGGATTACCCATTTTAAGTCTCTAGGTAGATTAGATTAGATTTAATTAGGACTGTGGGCCATGTGGCCTCCCCCACCTCGACCTATTCAGTCTATTGTGGATATCCTTTAATCGTTGTTTAGAGTAACTTGTCTAATTCGGTCTTTTGTAGTAGACTCCAAGTAGTTCTCTGGTATAGCTAGTTGCCCTTGGATTTTCTTCTCCAAGCGTAAGTAATCAGTCTTGCTAGATCTTCGCAGTAGCACAATACGTGTTCTGCCGTTTCCTCCTCTTCTTGGCAGAGTCGGCACAATGTCTCTTCTGTCAGACCGAATAAGTCTCTAGGTATGATTACACCAAGATCCTTTTGTGTTTGGACTGGAGGTATTGCGTTTGTATCTGCGTGTGGGGATTATTTGGACCAATGTCCAATATGGGACACATATTTATGTCTAGGGGTAATAGCCATTGCTGAGACCAGATATCAGATTCCTATTTTATTCAAGTCTTGTTTCATTTTGTGAGAGCTGTCTAGTGGCTTGCAGTAGATCTTTCCGTCGTCTGCATAAAAGTTAGCTTTGGACTCTATGATTTTGCCAGTATGTGACTATTAGGTCTAATGTTCGATAATCGATAATAAACTTAAATTTACCATCATATTTCTCATATCCTACAAAAATCATAATATATGGCAAGCTGAAATTTGTTTACATCAATACAGTAGTCTTAAACTCAAATTTAAAAAAGGAACTCTGATTCTGTGGCATATTCACTTGCAAATTACTGCGATTGTGTTTAAGGTCCTGCCTTGACTGCAAAAATTACAAAACTCATACACTTTAAAACGAGCTAAACAGCTAAACATGGAAAATCGCAGAAAAGGCGCATAATCTATGATTATTTCATAAAATCTTATTTACGCATTCTCTGGCATACCTCTATAACAAATTTAAATTTAGTTCCGATATTCACAACATCTGTATGAATAAGACGACCATAATTTGTAAAATGTTCATATAACAATGGTCAATTCCTAGTTCTTGATTAAAGTAAAATAAAGCAAACAGTTTCGGATAATTTATTAAACCATTTAACAACTTATGTAAGAATAGAAGATTCGCTACATGCCTTTGTTTTTCAAGAGACTAAATATTAGTAATTCCAGAAATTTGACGATAGTTAGTATCTAGCCAGTTCATTCATATATTGTATGCGTAATGTCTTAAAAACCTCCTCTATACATCTGAATCAGATAAATTTGTCTAGTACAACTTGTGTGATAAGATTTTTTTATATAAGACTTCATCCAAAAATGTATAAACATACAATTAATGCAATAGCAAAAACAATACAAGAATTAAATATAAAAATCCAATATAAATAATACAATAAAAAAGGATAAAATTGGTAAGTGGAGTGTCTATTTTAAAAGAATTTTATGAAAATTCCATAGGAACTGAAGTTGTGTGTAAGATACATATATTTAAATAACAACATTTTTGTAGATATCTCTATATATAGAACATCTCAATTTTAAAATTCGTTCTATTATCAAATTTCAAAATATTATAATCAAATTCTTAATGATTTTTAAAAAAATGTCCGTACCATCTTATAAGCTAATATTGGACGACCTAATTCTTCTAACTTCTGATTAAAATCTTATTATTACGGTGTATTCCTGCCATAAATAAGTTAGGGCCGACATTCGGCCTGTGACTAATTCATGAACTGTAGAAATAATAATGTGTCAATATACCTGTGCGATCCATAGGTTTGGGAGATGTAGAACTTGGATTAAAAGATTACATTCTAATTGAACACTTTATTTTAAACACTGAAGGAATGATTTGATTTATTACTTCACTTAATACTAAACATTATTTACAGCATTTCTCTAGGAAATTTGTTACTTACACCATGTTTATATAGATAAAAGTTTATGTTACATGATGGCGGACAGAGCGTCGCCTTTTTATCACCGAAAAACGCTGTGATGTGTTTAAATGTATGTGAAGCTCTGATTCTGAGCTATGCGCGCTTGAGAGTCATGCTTGTGAGAAGTGGATGAGAAGTAGATAATGTCTGTGACGTAGTTATTTGTTCAGGAGACCTTTCTTATCGGCCAAGATAGTGCCGATTACAGAGACGTCTCCAGAAGTAGTAAAAAATTCGAAAATGAAAGTTTTTTAGCTGTATATTAGATGCAATATTGAGTGTAAAGATGAATGTAATTTGTTGAATGAATGTAATTCAACACTTATACTTATAAATTAAAAAAAAATTGTTCAGTTCTAAAAAAAAAGAATTCTGTTCTGATTTTTTTTTTGCTCATTCGCATATACGTATAGGCATTTTTAACTTTTTTTTTTACTTTCTAGTAGGCTTTTAGAAGAAACAGTTTTAAACTGATCAAAAGTCCTTTCGACCTATAATTATATATTTTGTTAACAATATAGTCCACATCTCTACTTGGCAGACACAGTCTCTGAGTGTATAATTCTGTGGTTTTTGAGTAGATTTGTGAAGGGAAAATCAATTCCAACCAGTTTATTAATTTATTGTTATGATATCGCTACCACCCTTGAATATGTTTCGCAGTTGGATGCAATTTATTTAGATTTTATTAAATCCCTTGATTGGATCAATCATAATCTATTGCCTTCTAAATTAAATTGTTTTGATGTTCTCCCGTACTTAATTGAATGGTTAGAAAGTTACTTGCTTGACAGATTTCAAATTGTACCTATTAAGGATGCCACAGCATTTCCGGTTTTTCATAACATGATATAAATTTGAATTTTAATTCATCCTTTTCTATATAGATGTAGCTAAAATCTTTAACCTCCATTATATCGATAAATAATATAAGCAACCATACTTTCGTTCATATGCAATCAGGATTTCATATGGCGTCTCACAGGGTTCCCATTCGGGTCCGCTTTTCATTTGTAAATGATTTATATGATGATTTTGTAAATTCCTTTCATTTGCTGATCTTAAATTGTATGCAGAGATCAATAAACCAGAAGACTGTATTCTACGATAGAGAAATATTTATAAACATGCTATTGAACTCTAATAAATGCTACAGTTTGACATTATCTAAGCTTAAAGCAATTACCTTCGATTACATTTTAGATAGTAATCCAATACAGGGAGTTCAAGAAATCCTTGATTTAGGTGTTGTCTTTGATAAGAATCCCTACATAATTTCGTCATCAATTTTATTACAAATTTTGACAAAAGCTAAGCCATCTTCAGCTTTCGAAAGACTGGACGATATCTCACAATTATTAACAATTTGCTTTGGAATTAAAATAGCTCCTTCCTATTTGTGATACTAGAATTTTCGCTATAAGGGTTTAATTTGCTTTTAAAAATAATTTTTCTTGTATTTACAAGATAATGTATTGGTATAATTGTATTGGGGATAATTAATTTTGAGTTTACAAAATCTAATTGAGCATTAAGCAATTTTGATTGCTCCAAACCTATTAATCCCTCGAAGACATTGTGAAAATCAAAGAGGTGAAACTTTAAAATTCCATCTTGATTAAAGTCTGGAAATATTAGAATATTTGCACAATTTTAATGAGTAGACGTTTGATAAACAGATGAAACTATAAATGGTTCTCTAAAAATTTTTTCTATATATAATTTGAATGCAATTTCAGGCCTCAAAAATGATTTAGTAGCACCTGTATCTATTAAGAGCATAAGGGATTTAAAATTTTTATGTAAGGTAATTCTTTTTTATCTAATATGTCTTTTGGTCCGTTGAAGCATTTCTTTGAAAATCCTCACATTCGTCATTTCGACGTTAAATAATTCTTCAAAAACAAAATTATGTTTCTGATTAAAATTTTGAAAATTATTACAACCTTGGTTTCGAGCTTAGGGTGTGGTATTCCTCGTCGATGTACTCATAAGGGTATCTTTGAGTTGGATATAATTGGAATTTGGTTTCCATACATTTTGGGGTTTTCCGAAAACTTGGATATTTGTTTGAGGAGGATTTGGATACCATTGAATTTGAATAGGACCTCTGGAGAATTAAGATGAGGTTAAGAAACTGTAAAGTATTGCAGCATTGAGACCCTTATTCTTGGTCTATGTTAGATCAATACTTGAATATGACTCTGTTGTTTGGTCCCCTCATTATTCTGTGCATATCCAATTGCTGGAAGACGTTCAAAATGGATTTCTGAGAACTTGCGCTTACAGAATGGGATACGCAAAGGATACTCACGACTATGAAACAATTCTAAGACTTTTAAAACTAGAATTTTAATTTATAAGCACACGTATTAATGACCTATTGTTTTTACTGACTTCAGGTTGGCATTTGTTTGCAAAGAATTTAAACTTAAGCTCTCCAAACTGTCTGTCTTCATGTAGGTTTGTGCATGTGAAGTTTCTCCACGACATAATCTTTTTAACCTGTAAGGCTTGTTTGTACCGGTTCTAAATGCTAGAACATTCAAATATCCCGTTAATAACTATGGTCGGGAGGGCCAGTCCATTCCTTTTCGGTGAGTGAGACAAGGGGTGTGTGGTTAAGTCGGATCGGTCCCAAGTGCGCGGAGTATTGAGTTCTGAGAGCGACAAGGCGATTGGGAATCAGCTGTCCGGCGGGGACCAAACAGAGCAGCAGTATTCTAAGTTAGACCTGACCAAAGTCGAGTTCAGCAGTTTAAATGTATTAATAGAAAATTGTCTACTGTTCCTCTGAATAAATTCTAACATTTTAAATGCTTTAGAGGTTATTTGACTAGTGTGAGTGTTAAAGGAAAGCTTACTGTCCATAGTAACTCCCAAATTGCGAACATTGTCGTTAGTTTGTAGCACAGGTGAACTGATGACACTTTTTAACATTTAAGTACACACATTTACATCACACCAACAGGACAATCTATTTAAATCATCTTGTAGTAACAAAGCATCTGTTTCATTGGAAACTGATCTAAATATTTTCATATCATCAGCAAACATGAGATATTTACTGTTAGAGATGACACTAGAAAGATCATTAATAAATAAATTGAATAACAACGGACCCAAATGAGATTCCTGCGGTACACCTGAAGATACTGTATGTAGTTATTGTCGCTAAAGCCGGCTACTCACTACGCGTTACTTGCCGAGTTACTTGACTTGGACTGAACTTGGCAAGTACTTGTTCGAGTACAAGTAAATCGTCTATATCGCGCGCCTTCTAAAGTAGTAGTAGTAACTTTACTCGGATCCTTTGACTTCGGTCCGTTTACCGACAACCGACGGGAAGTACAAGTAACTTGCTGAGTCTATACAAGTCTCCATACACATTACATGGTACTTGGCAAGTAACGCGTAGTGAGTAGCCGGCTTTAAATTCTACTTAGGTAAAATTTAAAATATATAAGGATTTAAGAAAAGAGACTAATAAGAAAAATAATGAAGAAAACAGAATTGTTGCATTAACCATTTGTCATTCTTACCTCTTGGGTGGTGGTCATCTTAGTAGTGGTACTGGTGGTGGTGGTACTGGTAGTAGTGGTAGTCGTAGTAGTCGGTACCCAACTGTTATTGTGAAGATAATAAGCCGGAGTATATTCAGCCATGATGTCCATCATTTTGTTTTCACGTTTCGTATCTCTTATTACTATCTCTCTCTTTTCGCCGTCTTTATAGTTTTGTACGATGGTAGCCGTGTACGGGATCTCCATTTCGGTGTAATTGCCTCTGACTGTCACGTTGACAGCTGTACCCGCTTCCAAATCTCTGCGCAACAAAAAATAACATGCTGTTAATAAACAAATACATTGTTATCTTTCCGAGGTCAAAATATGTTGTCAAATTTTGTAATTTAATATGTTCTTGGAAAAAAATATATTGCATAGTCCTTGTATTTGCCAAACTAAGGGTGAGATTACAGAACCTGCAACTTTGCAGATCTGCAAATATGGCGGCAGATCTGCAAATTTGGCGGACTTACAGATGTAAGTATCAAGTTTTCGTATTCCAAAAAATATCGCAATAAACCACAATAAATTTTGCTAATTTGTAGATATTTTTTGGAATACGAAAACTTGATACTTGCATCTGTAAGTCCGCCATATTTGCAGATCTGCAAAGTTGACGCCATATTTGCAGATCTGCAAAGTTGCAGACGTTCTGTAATCTCACCCTAATAAATACAGTCTTATCGATTTTTTAAATCTACAGTCTTCAAACTAAAAAAAAAGTAGTAAATTGATGTACTGCTTTTATATAATATTTTAGTAACAAATCCCACATTTTTCAAAAAAATAACTAACCTTTCTATCGGTGCCAATTCCTTTTTCTCGAGCTCCGTGTGTAGGGCCCAAGCTCCTTCCAGCTGAGTGCCGTTGGGCAAGGTGACCTTTAAAGGTAGTCCCGTCAATAATCCGTGACCTTTGCCCCAGAACAGATTGTACAAATAGGTGTAGGTTACGACGCTGTCTACTCTCTGAAAGGAATTTTCCTTGTTTGTGAGAATGGCGTGGCCTAGGAGACGTTGTTTCTTGGGATGACGTTTGTTGATGCGGTCGAATCTGGGAAAAATGGCGGAACGGGTATTTTAAAAATTCAGTTAGAAGCTTTTGGTAATTGTAAATAATTATTACATATTCTGGGATCCACTCTTAGTGAATTATAATTATAATATAAGAACATACAGTGTGTCCCCTGACAAGTGAAAAAACATTACAAAATTATTTATATAAATTTTAATTTTTTGTGATTCAACCCTGCTTTGTTAAAGAGTAATTTTCAACATAATTTTATGTTGCAGATATGACTAAAAGATATTTAGAATCATCACCCAGGTGAAAATCTTCGACAACTATGCATTTTTCATTTATTTTGTTAAGAGAGTAGCTTTTCGGTAACAGATACGTCAAAACAGTTATTTAGAAAAGTTGCTTGAAATCAAAATGTCAAAATCTTCGGCCACCTTGATCTTTCACATTTGCTTTTATGTTTATTTCCCAAATTATATAATTTTATTTTTAACAATGACTGCCATGAAAAATTACATCCATAACAATATTAGTCTGTCAACTTAACAGTCAAACACTACTTCATCAAACTCAAACGGTTTCTTACAGTGTTAAAATTAGAGGAAAAAATTTACTTCATTCAGTGTTATGGAACCCGCAAATGATATAGTATATTACATTACGAGTGTGGAAAGTGACATTTTTCACACGAGTGGGAAATATTGTCGCACGAGGCGTAAGCCGAGTGCGACTATCACACGAGTGTGGAAAATCACTTTTCACACAAGTGATGTACAATATTTTTCCTACGACCACAAAATAATTTCATCAAAAAATGTAAAACCAGATTATTATAATAATTAAAATGTATTTAAAAAAATAATCAACAATAATCGTATTTATTAAATTTTCATAATTTCTAAACAAATAAAAAAAAATAAAAAAAAAATAAAAAAAAAAATAAAAAAAAAATTCTGGCACAGCCAGGATTCGATCGCGGTCGTTGGACGGTCTCAAATTGTAAAGTTGATGCTCTAACCAACTGAGCTAACAGGCCTTACGGTAATTGATTGATCTAATCGCTTATGTGTTTAACCAGAATAAAAAGCAAATATATCTTAGTTATTTTAAAATTATTTTAAAAATAATTGTTAAAGATAAATATTTAGGATCTAATTTACAATAATTTAACAATCATATCGATTTTAGTATTAATATGGACATTACATAGATCAAAATAGAAATTATGTGTTTGACATTTTCTGACAGCTACTGCGGAAAGTAGCATATTCTCACTTGGGTGGAAAGTAAATTCTTATTCATACGCGTGTGATATAGGGCACTTTCCATAGGTCTATATAGTGTGATATGTGTCACTTTCCTAAGTGGTCGTAGGAAAAATGTATTTCTTTATTTATAGAAAAATATCTAACTTGACAAAATAAATGAAGTCACAGTTGGCCGAGGATTTTCAAATTTGGTATACGGACCTAGATGGTGATTCTTAATAACTTTTCTTTATAAATTTTGGCCATATCTACAACATAAAAGTCACTTTAGAGAAAAATACGTTTTTTGGAAATTCCCAAGACATCCTTGATTTCTCAAAACTGGTATTATGTTGTAAATTAGTCGTTAACCAAACAGGGCAGAATGAATCCCAAAGAAATTAAAATTTAAATAGATAATTTTGCACCTTTTCTAAGAATCGTTCCACTTATCCGGGGACACTGTATATACAGTGTGTCTACTTAAGTTGGAACCATATGGAAAAAATGTATTATTGATTTTAGGAAAAAAAGTTATTCTTGATAAAAAGTCCTGCATGACCTAATTCTTAAAATGCTGTCATCAGATATCAAATTTTTCAAGCCGTATACGAGGTTTGTCAAAAAATATGAATTTTACTCAATAGTAAAGTACGTTTATTTTGGACAAAATTTTCATTAAGAAAATTGCTAAATTCTTCACAAACATAGTAGAGAAGAGAGAAACAATTATGGATTACCGTAATTCGGAGGATCAATGCAAAATCTAGAAAAAAATCTGATTTTTCAGATAGATCGGTGTAATCGCATATTTGAATGTAATTTTCGATTCTTATCAACTTTTCTTAAAGAAAATTTTCGATTTTGTCAAAAATAAAAGTACTTTACTCTTGAGTAAAATTCATATTTTTTGACAAACCTCGTATACGGCTTGAAAAATTTGATATCTGATTACTGTATTTTAAGTTTTGGGTTATGCAGGACTTTTTATCAAGAATAACTTTTTTTCCTAAAATCAATACATTTTTTTTTTCATATGGTTCCAACTTAAGTAGACACACTGTATATTCAGCACATTTCGCAAACAAAAATGTATTATTAATTTTTGTATAGTCCACGTTTATGTTTAGATATAAAAAGAATAAAAGTAAGGACACTTTTTTATGTTAAATCAAACAAGGCTTAGACTAAAATATAATGATATACGAGGATGGGATGAAAAGTTTCCGGCCTAACCTATAGTAGGCCCGATTTGCTTTCCTGTTCCAACGTGTCTATGTAGCCTTCCTTGTCGTCAGTATACGCTCGAAGTTTAAAGTGAGCCACTTTTAAAAGATGGAAAAAAACGAGATAAGAGCGGTGATAAAATATTTCCATATCAAAGGATTATCTAGATGCTACACTAGGGGAATCTGCTCCTTCATTTACCACAGTTAAAACCTGGGTAGTGGACTTTAAACGTGGTCGTACTAGCACTGATGATGCTCCGCGTTCTGGCAGGCCAAAAACGGCAACTTCTGAAAAAATGGTGCAAACCGTTCATAAACTAATTCTAAAAGATCGCAGATTAAAATTGGAAGAGGTAGCTGAGGCTGTGGGCATATCAAAAGAGCGAGTTCACTATATTTTGTGTAAAGTTTTAGGTATGAGAAAGCTATCCGCCCGAAGGATGCCGCGTTTGCTCACGTCAGATTAGAAGCTCACGCGGCTAACCATTTCAGAGGAGAATTTGGCACTGTTTAAACATGATCCAGGGGACTTTTTGCGTAGATTTATTACGGTTGATGAAACATGGGTTTATCACTATACCCCTGAAACTAAACAACAGTCCAAACAGTGGACGGCAAAGGACGAACCAGTTCCAAAGAAGGCAAAGGCAGTACCGTCTGCTGGAAAGGTCATGGCAACGGTCTTTTGGGATGCTAAAGGGATACTCCTAATATATTATCTCGAAAAGGGAAGAACAATAAATTCCGAGTACTACAGAGACTTACTGGACCAGCTTAAGCAGAATATAAGCGAAAATCGCTCTGGTTTGGCAAAAAAGAAAATTCTGTTTCATCAGGACAATGCACCTTGCCACAAGTCCGGTCTTGTAATGACTAAAATTCATCAGCTAGGCTTTGAACTGTTAAACCATCCTCCGTATTCGCCAGACCTAGCCCCGTCAGACTTTTATTTATTTCCAAACCTAAAAAAATTTCTTGCTGGCAAAAAAATTTCCACGGATTTAGAAGTAATTGCAGCCACAAACGCCTATTTTGACAAATTGGACTACAGTGACGGTATTAAATCGCTTGAACATCGTTGGGTCAAATGTATTACCCTACAAGGGGACTACGTAGAAAAATAAATTTCTATTCAGTCACTATTGTGTTGCGTTCTATGTTAGGCCGGAAACTTCTCATCCCATCCTCGTATATATGATTTTTTCTTCAAACCACTTATTTTTTTTTATTGTCTCCTGATAGTGAACAGTGTTTTTTTGGAATGCAGAAGAGATTCTTTTAATTACCTTGAAAGGGGTAAAAAAACTGACAAATACTACGTACATTTTCTTGACTAGCTAGATAAAAATTCGTATTGCAAAAGAAAAAAATCATCTTCCATTAGGACAATACACAAGCCCACAAAGAATTTTTTCTATTCCCAAACCTAAAGAAATTTGTGACCCGAACAAATGAAGAAGTGATAGCAGCACTAGATGGATATTTTGCAGACTTTCCAGAATCATACTTTAGGGATAGAATCATTTTATTAGAAAAATGTTGACTAAACTAAATGAATGCATTTTTTAATTAAAAAATGCAGGCTCACTACCATTATGACAATTTTTCACCTTGCTCTGATATGCTATAGGATTTTCCCCGTGATATAATATATAATGATATAATTTTAAATTGTCGAACACTATTAGCTGAATTGATAAATTTAATTACCTAATTTGTTAATAAATTGCAACTCCCATATAATTTAGAGGAATTTGTTGCCTATAAAATAATCATGATAATTGATATTTATATTAAATAAAGTTTTATCGATTATTTTCGTAATTAAAAACTGCAAAATTAGTGATTTTAATCAAAATTATTACCTAGTCCTCGTATAATGTAAATTAAATGGATTTACGTTATTTAAAAAACTAAAGAAAAATAATTAAAAAAAATAGAAGAGGTTCTATTGAATGGCCCCCAAGATGGCCAGATCTAACACCGTTGGACTTCTTCTTATGGGGTTATTTAAAAAGTGTTATTTACGAAACGCAACCGAACTCTTTAAAAGATCTTTGCCATCGAATAACTGTGGCATGTCGTGAAATAACTCCTGCAATGTTACAAAATGTTCGGAACAGTGTTGAACAAAGGTTTTATTACTGTTTGCAATTTGAAAACTTACTTTAATTAAAACTTTTCTGGCAATTTTTTTTTAATTTCATTTATCCACAATTCCAGCTGCTTTTTGGCATTACTTTTAACACAAAAATATTGGAATGTCTGTAAAGAGAATCGAAATACCTTTCAGATAATGAGCCATCGACCCCCATGCCATTAAAGATTCTCGAAGGGGTTTCCACACTTTTTAAGGGGAAAACCGTACAATCATGAGTTAACGATCAAAAATTGTCCCCATCGATAACACAATCGACTTGTCTCGTGTTTTGTCGCAAAAACCTCCCCCGCAATAATATTTGAGGTGAAATGTTTCTAATGCGCCACCCTGTATATATATCGCTACCACAGTTCAAAAAAGAAACCTCTTAAAACATTTAGTTCATTTCTCTTTTGAACCAAGACGTGAAGAGTTCGAAAAGAAAATATTATCAAGACATTCCTCGTTATTTTTCTTTTGAACTGGACATTCGAAATTTTTAAAAATTTTTAGAACGATCTCATTTATGACAAATTTAAAGATATTTTCTTTTTGAACTAAGATGTCGAATACGTCAAAATAAATATCGATGTTTTAAAAATACTGTTGACTAAAAAATGTATTGTGTAATCCTCGTATATCCGATTAACTATAGGGTCATATCAATAATTTTCGTAACGTACCTGATGTTTTTCAATTCGTAACTGATTGGTTCCGTTTCAACAAGAATTTCGCCATTATCGTAAGCAATTTCTATGTTGTTTTGATCTACGACATGGAACATTCCCAAGTTTTCTGAAGTGTACTTTCCAACGTAGTGAGACAGCGATCCTAAAATTATTATTTTACTAAATTTCCATTCTTTTGGTAACATTTACGTTTATGTTGATGAATAAATAATAAATAAACAATACCTGTTTTGTTGTGGCTGTTAGCCGCCCTCCTTGCTACGAAGCTCCTTAGTATATTTTCACCGCTGGTAACAGCTCCTTGAGATATCAGAGTGTACTTATCCTTGTGGACCCAACTCAGCCGAGCGCTACCCTCTATGCTGACCAGTACGTCGAATTGTTTGTATTCTGTTACTTTTTGATACAGAGATACTACGCACACATGCTTGTTCGGTCTCAGCTGTCCCGAAACCCAGACGCTGTTGAATTTGGCACGGCACACGTAGACTGGCTCCGGAACTAGGCCGTTACCTCCCGTTTCGTTTTCAGAGACTTCTGCTTCATTGCTTTTTTGTTCTAGAAACACAAGAAAGAAATGTTTCAATCATTATTTATTTACAATGAGGTTATAAACTACTTATACACACTTATACAGATACTAAATAATCTAGTAACCATTCGTCCATTAGGCATTTCAAACGAAATGATAGGCATTTCAAACGAAATGACTACCAGTGGGTTTTGACAGGTTATGATATGGCAAAATTATGGCAACCCTGTAGGTTGTCATATCTAAATGTCAGTTCCCTAATTAGGCATTCCAACGACCTGTCAAACAATAGGTGCCAGTGGGAAATTCTTGTATATCTAAGGGGGTAGCGACATAATCTTGCAATTTGGACGCTATTTTTATTCGAAGTAGTAGTCGCCAAGCCTGCCAATTTATGAAGAAATGTATAGGTGGGTTTTTTAAATATTATTTTTATTGTGTTTGACATAAAATATTTAAATATTATCCATTATTCATGATTTTACGTAAAGTAGATAGAATACACCGTATATCTCCACCCTTAGATATACCAAACCTTCCCACTGGCAATTCATTTGTTTGGAATGCCTAATTAGCCTAATTAGACATTCCAAACAAATGAATTGCAAGTGGGAAGGTTTGGTATATCTAAAGGCGGGTACAGATCTGAGCACGTACGCGTATGAGGCAAGCCGAGGACGCATGAGCATGCAGATGTGGACGGGCTTCCGAGGCGCGGCAAATTGCCTCGTTGTGTGCGCCGTACGGCCTCGCCCCGATCCGTTTCATGGCGGTACATCAAAAGGAGGCAATGCGCAGTACGTGCTCAGTCTGGACGGTGAATTTGTACCATACAGCACCGTACAGATTATAGCGAGTTTTTAGTATTATTTTGCAAGGAATGGAACCAGGAAAACGTTTTGCTTCTTCTGGATTTAAATAATCAGCGTGATATCTTGAGAGAGCAAAACTCCAGTTTTATAACAACACAATAAAAAAAGGATATCCTTGGCAGGAAATCAGCCATCGATTCCCCTCCTTTTTTCTTTAATGTATCGGATAAAATTATAAAGCATGCACTTAAGTCCGCAACGTCATCCTCATCCTTCATTTTTGTTTTAATTTTACGAATTTTCTGGGTATACAGTTGCGTGCTCGCGAATTTACTGGATCAGTGGCGAACAGCGCCTCGTGAGTCCATAATTCGTGTATGCAAAATGCGTCGCACGAGGCATTCGGTTCGGCCTCGGCTTGCCTCATACGCGTACGTGCTCAGATCTGTACCCGCCTTAAGGATTGCGACATACGATGTATTCTATCTACTATACGTACACTCATCAAGAACTTCCTACTGGAACCTATTGTTTGACAGATCTTTGGAATTTCTAATAGGGTATTTCAATAAGAACGCAATATATGAAGGTTCAATAAAACATGTTTTTTGCAACCAAAGATTTAAATATTAATTCTATTATAATTTAAACATTTGGGAATTATGTATGGAACAACATATCTGGTACATGGCCGCCAAGGCTTTACTGGCACATGCCGACACATGCAACGAAGACTATAGTAACTCATTTTTGGGAGTTTTTGAGTTACCATTATCCAGCGAATATATTTACCAAAAGCTTTGACTTGGAAAAGTATAGCATGTCTAAACGAAGAGGATAAGCAACCAGAATTACTACCATAAAATATAGTAAATCAGTTTAGACCATAAAATACTACGGATACTATATTATCTCAGATTTTCTCAAAACTAGAAATAATGAGTTACTATTGTCTTCGTTGCATGAGTCGATGCGTACTCTTTTTGTGAAAATTTCAATAATCTTGTTGCATATTTCATTGATACAATGTCGGTATAAACCTGTGACTATAGATAACACTACAGCCAAAAGTTTAAAAAGTCCCAATGTGCTTATCGCAAGAGCTTACGCCATTTCACGTCGCCAAATCGGAAAATCACACGATCAGTAAAAGACTAGTGCAAGACAATGAATGTTTTACGGGAAATATATCAAGTGCCACAGTGCGGCTGAAACAAAATATTTTTCTCGGCATAAACCAACATGAACGTTTATGATAGATTATGATAGATTATGCTATTTAGACGTTTATATAAGTCAATAGACGTCTAAATAACAATCTATTGTTGATTTATGCCGCAAAAAAAATACCTTCATGTTTATTAACTCCCATCTATCTCCCCTCGACCTGGCATGCCATACTCATGTGATATGACAGCCAATCTGGCGCACAAATCAAATATTGTGCTGTTACTGAAACTCCCTTTACTGGATTAGATATAGTCGACTATAAAACGTTCCGAAAGATGTGTGATATATGTAGATAGACATAGACAGAAGAAACGTTTGACAACATGCCACAAGAATATAACAAAATAGGAGTATATAACACAGTGTTAGGAGAGATTAAAAAAGAATTGAGCTGTAGAAGAACCGACAATTGGAACAATCTTATGGGTCTAAGACTTCTGGGTGAATATAACCAGACCAAATCAGATCCTGAGATAGTAAACTGATACTAGTAAGTACAGATTATGTGAGAAGGAGGACGAAACCTACGTTCACATTCTGACTGAATGTGTAACACTCCAGAATCCACGGTCACTATACTTAAATGATCTACCTAACTTAGATCCACTCGCAATCATAAATTTTCTTAAGAAGATATAATTGGAAGAATCGTTATATACATCGATATGATTCCCTCGCTGCGTTAGCTACAGAAGGAGACACAATGGATCTTTTAGGTCGCATAACACAACATAGTGTGATAACAAGTTAATCAATAATAGAAGAACAATTTGGGTTTCTTAACAAAAAAACTGATTTTACTTGCTTTTATTGACTATCTGTCGGACGTTTTGGATGGATGTGGTGAGGTGCATGCCATATACACAGACTTTTCCAAGGCGTTCGACAGGATCAATCACAAAATTTTGTTAAATAAACTGGAGACTGCTGAGATCATGGGAACATTATTGCAATGGCTGGCGAGTTATTTATCTGAAAGATTCCAAACTGTTAAATTGAATGATTACAGATCTAAAAACATTCCCAATTCATCTGGAGTCCCCAAGGATCCCATTCGAGACCTTTGTTATTTTTATTATTCATAAATGATATCTTAGAATGTTTCAAGTTTGCCAAATTTTTATGCTTTGCTGATGACCTAAAGTGCTACCTCTCTTGAGGATTGTCTCAAACTTCAGTGTGTTCTGGCTAGGCTTGATAATTGGTGTGCGAATAAACCTAAACATAAGTGTCACTCGATATCCTTTACTAGGAAGATCAACATGATTATCAATATAATATCAAGGGTACACCAGTGTCCCAAGTTGCATCCATTCGAGATCTAGGTGTTATTATGGACTACACGCTCTTATTTGTCAATCACATTGACACAATAGTACCCAGAGCACTTGGTATGCTTGGCTTTATAAAGAGAAACACATCAGACTTTACAAGTATTAATACTATCAGGTTACTGTACTGTAGTCTTGTTAGGCCTCTGCTAGAATATTGTTCTTCAATCTGGAACCCCCAGTATACTTGTCACATTCATAGATTAGAACCGGTTCAGAGAAAATTTCTTCGCTGCTTAGCATTTAAATCAAATATTCCAGGAACAGATGACTATTTTTATGATTTTGCGGCACTGCAAGAGACATTCTCCTTACCAACTTTGAGAATAAGAAGAGATAAGACAGATCTTAAATTATTTTTTAAGCTCATTAATTATATGGTTGACTGTCCTACATTGATTTCAAACATGTTGTTGGCAGCCCCAACTAGAAGCACAAGATGAATAAACAGGTTTCATCAGCCCTACATGAGAACTAATACTGGCCTCAATTCATTCATGCCTAGAGTTTCACGAAGCACTAATGTACTGATAGTCTAGAATTTTTTAATTCAAGCTTTTCTAAAAATTTGTGAGGGTGTTAAAACTTACTGTGACATAAATGCCCTAGTCTTAATATTAGTTGTTTCGATTTTGTACATTTTAATATATTTATGATTTTTGTTGTTAGTTTATTAGTTTATCATTATTATGACATTTTATTTAGATTGACTCTATTTGAGTTTTTTTTTTTGTTTTTATTTGTAACTTTGTACTAAAAGTGGGCGAGTCCCGTGAATAAATAAATAAACATTTATGTCCGTGATAACTATGCATAGCTGTGAAATAAATACAAAGTGACACTTAAAAAGAAGAAGAATGACGAATAACATCTCGTGTGAATTGTTACAAGGTTTACTTTAAAAACATTTTTTGTGCATCACTCTTGATATTAATACTACAAATATAAATGTTTATATATTTTTTTCACCTTTTCCCATAATTACTTCTATTTAATTTAAAATATATTTGAACATTGTATAATTGTGAGAAGTTATATAAAGCCTTTAAATTTGTTCATAAATAAAGTTTAACTAACAAAATATTATTTTTTTTTCTTTCTTTCTTAAATTATAGAAAATGCATTTCGAATACAGTATACATAAAATTTCAATCATAAAACTATTTTCCTAGAGCTTTAGAAACCTTTAAAAGTTAAAAGTAAATATTTTTTATCTCACATATAAGATTTTCGGAAACATCTTTATTTTAACCATTTTCATAATGTTTCATTTAAATTTTTATGACTAATGGACAAATTATTACTCAGAATGATGAACGAGTACCACAAAATTAATAGAACATGTTTGATCGTTTTGGAAATTTGGTCGAAAATACATTTTATCGCAAATGTATTCTATCAAAATACATTTGATTCACTTTTAAGTGATCGAAAAGACAAGATAACAAAAATCAACGGCTCTATCATGAAATAGCGCGTATCAAAAAAGCTCCTGAACGAAATAACGCTGATTAAAATAGCGTCAGTCAAAACAGCGCCCTATCAAAACACCGTCTGGAGCCATCAAGGGCTGCATGCTCCGCAATTTTTCCTTACATAATGCCTGGAGTTTAGGTTACCGACGCAAAACTCAAGGTCATGATAACCCATCTA